CCATTGCAGGTGTAGCGACGAATGCAAATCGTGGAGTTGCTGGCATCGACTCTCGCCATCGACCTGATTATCAGTATGAATTCCCTAAAGAGGTTGTAAGCAAAAACCAACCAGGAAAACCAGCAAAGTGCGTGTTCGGCATTTCCGAACATCCCCCAATTACCTCTACTGCCAGCAACCGACCCACACGCGCAGAGCTCAGCGAGAACGAAAGCCCGGCCCGGCCCTTCTCCGCCCGGGGCCTCTTCGCCCTTCTCCGCCCGGGTGGCTCGCACCAGCAGACTTTTCTGCTCCTGCGCGAGCGGCGGTGTCGGTCGGGAATGAGGGAATGGCTCTCTTTATTCTCAGCCCTTGTGATTTACTTTCAGGGTTCCCAAAGCTGCGTTGATTCCTAGCGAGAACCAGCCAGTTTGAGTTGGCAACCTTGAGGCTGCCCTTCTTGGTGTTGTGTTTTTCAAGGTTTTGGAGGGTATTTCAGAGCAGAAATCATAAACCGATGCAAATGAAAGGACCTAAGAGAACTTGGCCCAAACGGGTCTTGATGGGTTTTCGGCCAATTCCCTGAACAATGTTCTGTCGCTAGTTTCTGTTGCAAGTTGCCAGCGCAGCGGCACTCGCGCGACCGATTTGTGTGGATTCAGTTGAGGACCCGGGGAAACTTCCCGGGGATTCCGTGGAGAACGGGCCAAAACCAGGGGGCTCGGTGCTTTCGGATGTACACAAAATCAAGCCAACCTGCCCCACACGGAATTCTTGACTGGGACTGGCGCAGGTCCAGCTTCTTGGGCAAAAAGTGGCGCCTTGCCCGAACCAAAAAGAATAAGCCCGGGTGGCATCCCCAAACCTCAATTTTGCAGAACCCTTCCGCAAGGTAACCCTTCCAACAGCTAGCTCTGGCCGCTGCGAACTCCGTCAACCACTTCGACCCCATAGCTTGGGAGAAAAACCTCAACCCAACTCTGGGTAGCCCAACTCCGCAATTGGGGAACCCTTCCGACACAGCCCGCTCTGGCCGCTCCGAACCACTCCAGCCCCCATACTTTCTGCCCAGTTCCCCCCCTCTTTGAAGCACCTCCCATCCCCCTCTCCCCCCCCAAAAAAAGCCAGAAAAGAAACAAAGCGACTCCCCAGCCCCGCTCCCCCTCACTTTCCCCCTACCCCCTTTTTTCCGCCTGCGAGAGCACCGAACTCTTCTGCAGACCCTTGAGCTGCTGCTCCATGACCATCACCCGGGCGTTCAGCTGAGACTGCGAGAGGCCAAAGCCGGGAGGCCCCAACTAAACCGCCAAAACCTCACAGAGAGATCCGCACCTCGTGCTAACTGTCCCTCACTCGCCTCATTTCAGACTCCCATTTGGCTGTGGTGGTCAAAACCAATGGGATCCCATTTTGGGTAGCTGAATTCACCACCCATTTTAGAACCCATTTTAGTGATGACTGGGATGTTCACTGGGGTACGGGATTTCGACCCAATGGCCATTTGGGCGGTCTGGTTTTGCGTTTGGACTTTGGGTCCCCCGCGCCACCTTCTCAAACTATAGATGCCCTTCTAAAAGGGGGGATACGTGGGAGTGCTTCGTTATTGGAAGGCCCCCTTTCGTTGGCTTTGCATGTTGCGCTTGAAACAAACCCATCTGTGCCGCCAAAACATCCTTGCAATCGGCTGCTGAACTGAATTCCTCGCGCTCCTAAGGCATTCATTCCGCGAAGGCTTTGCTTTGATCAATGTGGGTTTGTCGGGCTTGGTTTGTTCTGTTGTTTGCAGGTGATGCTGTTGGGCGGGCACACCTTTTGATGGGTATGCCTGGCTGAATGTTGACCACGTGGGACGCCTCTGCTATGGGTCGGCTTGCTTGCATGAGTTGGCCTCAATCAATCTGTTTGGAATCTGGCAGATTGTCAACCGATGAATCAACCTGATGGATTAATTGAGAAGCGAGCATCTCTAAAATGGGACACAATCCCATCAACCAGGGGCTCCGTAATCCTGGGTTCGGTTTTGCCCGGAGAGCTCTTTCTGGTACGATGAAAAATGAAGGCGGCACCCGGGAGACAAAAAAGGAGCCTCCCTTGAGGAGAAGAAAAAAAAGCCAGGTGATTTGAAGCTTCGCAACCGATTCCCTCGGTTTGATTAAAGGGAAAAGAACGTGAGATGTTGGTCAGGGATCCACAGTTTAAAGGAACCAGTGGCAATGCCAGCAAACAACCCACCTGAAATGAAGAAAGCCCCTCTTTTTCAAGAAAGGCGGGTTTCCTAAGTCCGGCAAACGGCCGGTTCTGAGCGGCCTGAGCACGTGCCCAACCCCACCTAAGCCCACTCCGTCACGCCTGCGACGCCACATAGTCCGCGGAGGCCGACTCCGCGCGCCACAAGGTGATGAGCGTCCTCGGGGCAGAAAGACGGGCCTGGAAAGCAGTGAAGCGCGCAGACCTGACCTACGGAAATGCTGCGGGTTTGTCTCGGAAAGACCAACACACTGCGAAGGCAGATGGCCCAATCGCATGTCCCGCGCGGTTGAAACCGATTGAAGCACCGAAACAGACCTCCAGTAGCTCGGGCGGGGAGTTGCTGGACACGACATCGGCCAAGCTATCTCACACAAGAATGTGGGGAGAGCCGATCCGCCACTTGAGAGGAAACCGGGGTGCAGGTGGCAAGGGCCGGCCCCCGCAACACCTCTGCTGCTTTGCTCAACAGAAAGAGATGTTCGGCACCAAAAAAAAACCAACCACATCGGAGGTCACACACGGCCACGAACTCTAATAGGGAACACCCTCAAAAGGCTTGGTGGACTGTCGGGTCCCCAAGTAAAGTCGTTTGCCCCGTTTCATTTGGAGAGAACCCCGCGCAAGCCAACGATCTCACGACTAAGCTCTGTGCAGAAGTGCAACGGCCCCCAGAGCCCCCAAGGCAGCGCGCGGCAGGGCAGCGATTCCCTGGCGCGGTAGGGCCAAGTTTGCTTTGTTTGGGGGGCAAACCCCCTTTCTGGTTGTTCTGCAAAGGGAAACCAAACGGAGACCAACAATGCTCGAACATGTGTAAACGTTAAATAATAACTGTTTCAACAATCCCCTTTTTTCTTCCATTTTCAGGGGGGCCATCCAGTGTCTCACAAGTTCACCAAACCCAGTTGTGTTTTTGTTTGGGGGAAGGGTCCCACTCAACCCGGGGACACCCCCCTTCTAATAAACCGGGGCTTATTAATCTGGGGTCAACATTAGTTGGAAGAGTAACTCCCACATTCCCGTCTGACGAGAAAGCCACACCGGAGCTGTCGGTTATCACCATGGCAAACCACCAAGAGAAGCCACCAAGGGGGTATTGTTGAGGGGCTGAGGACAGGAACGGGAAATCGGTTGCAAGCCCCGCATGGTGAGGTCGCCATAGTTTGTTCAGCAGGTGAATCGTCTGATAAGTTGCTCCAGCCATTGGATCTTTGACTTTGATCTTTGTTGGACCGCTCTGCACACTTCAGTGTGACTTGTGGTGACCAAATGGTGACCGGATCCTGTTTTCGCGTGCAAATGTCGAAACTCATTTGGCTCTTGCCTGAGACCGTGAAGAGAGCGAGGTTCATGGATCTTCGGGTAAGGGTCGCAGCTAGGAATCCTCCTGAGGTGTTCTTGCGTTTTTTGGACATGAATGACTCCCTTGAAGATTGACATGAACCCTGAAACCTGGCTCTTACAAAGGAAACTCCTCTTGTACAAGAGGACCCCGTTTCCTGCCCCATGTCAGTTGTGAGCTTTCGGGCCAAAACATCCAAGGTTCGAGGCCACGCGGCCACGCACTGACTCGTTTTGACCCTCAGGCAAAGGAGAGCTGCTCCCTGATGACTCCAACACCCCCCCCTTCCCTCCCCTCTGTGCCTGTGCTTTTGGCGCAGGGCTAGGCGTGTCCATCTCAAAGTTGGTGAGGGGCATGGCCGTCAAGCGATCGAAACGGGCCGAAGGGCCCTTGACATGCTGAACCCCAGGTGTTTGGGCTGCGAGGTCGCTTCATGTCTGAAAACGGAATGAGGTAAACAAGACGCCCAGTAGGAGGTGCTGAGGGAGAAAAAATGAATGCTGTCCAAGAGATGGGGCATTCGCTTGAGCCAGCACATCTGAAAAGGGGCGAAGCAAAACAAGCAGAATGTGCGAGAAACGACCACAGTCCCAGGCCCCGCTGCCATAGGATCTTTCACCAACCTGCAAAAAGATATCTCCAAGAAAGGAACCCTCATGGGTGTTGCAAACCTCGAAACGTGAGGTCGCGAGAATATCTGGCCATACTGTTGCTGGTACCCTACGAAGAATACTGGCTACATCCATTGCGTAACAGGAATGGCGCGGCAGCAATGGGTGGGCAGCCTTGCCCAAATGCGATGTCTTGCGCTTCACTACATATAATGAACTGTCAGCATTCTGATGCTGTTGCATGGGACATGCGGAAAAAATGGTTTGCCTAGAATTTGGTGCTTGAAGTTGAGTGAATCTGCCCACCCCACATTCACCATACTCCTACCAGACTTGTTTCGTCTCCTGACATGGGCTGCCACCGATTCCTGGCGAAGCGGAGCTTCCGGGCCGCCGCGCCAGTTGCCGAAGGTGGAGCCCGGGAGCCACTTCAGCTTCACCTTGACGTCGGCCCACCGGAAGGGAACAAATTTGGGGATGTTCGGAGTCGCCATGGCCCTGTCTAGAACTGGGGTCACGGCCCGGGTTTTGGTTGGGGTGAGGACCCCGTTTTTTTTGTTTTGGTCATGGAGGCATGGAGACTCCAGGTTTGTGTGTCCTCCGTTTGGTAAACGAAAGTGGGTGTCCTAAATAACGAGGACTCCCGGATCGATCTGGGGACTGGATGCCAAGCCTAGCCAAGTAACGGAGCTTCACGGTCGTGGATTCACTGGCCATCATGTACCCATGGACTACCATGGGTAGGGTCGTGGCAATCGTGTCCCGAGCCTGGGCGTGCAACAATGACCCCTTTGGCGAAGGGAGGCCTGCAGCCCTTGCCATTTTGGCTAACCTCCACCGACTTGGAGCAATCCTCCGCTTTACCGGTGCCAAGCCCGCCTCTTCCTCTTCTTCTTTTTCTCCGTCTTCTTCTTCTTCTTCTTCTTCTTCTTCTTCTTCTTCTTCTTCTTCTGTTTATTCTTCTCTTTTTGCTTCCTCTTCTTTTTCTCCTTCTTCTTCTGCTTCTTCTTCTTCTTCTCAACTCAACCGAAGCATTGCCTCCGGTTCGGAGCCCCACTCCAAGCTCCGAGCCACGCCACCCTTCTCGAAGTGCTCCTGAGCGCGTCTTCATCAGGCGTCGGAGCATAAGCAACGGGGGGGGGGGGGGTGGGCTGTTCCCTGGCTAGTCAGCTTCCCTCTTGGTGGTTTGGAGCCCGGTGGCTTGGTGTGTTCCGGGGTTTTCCATTTACCCTCTGCGAGAACCACGGGTTCAACTCCCCCAAACCTCCAATGCAAACCACCAGGCAAGGGCTAGTCGAGTTGGGGAACCAGGGAACCCACATGCCCAGCTGAGTGGCTCGTGAAAGGGACAAAGGGAACCAACCAAAAACACCAAAGGACTGGTTGCCTGCTATGACGGTAACTGGGATCCACTGAGCAGCCCAATCACTTCTTCAGGATGCCAGGTTGATTGAGCTTGCGGATAAATGGGAGTGGGTCCCATAGACGGGGAGGTCCCAACAAGAGACGCCCCCTATGAATCAAAATGCAAATCAAACTTGACAGCGGTGAAGCCTGTGTGATATTCCCCGAAGCCCCTACAGAATCAATGTAGGAGAAGACTTCAGATGAGACCCCTGCGAACAGAACCGAGAGCGAAAACGCCAACACACACATATATATATATATATCACCATTTTGGGGGCCCCCTAGTTCTGAGACATCCCCCAGTTTGCTGGGTTCCGCAGTACACTCCTGAGAGACTTCCTGTGGTCAGGGAGCCTCTCCTAGACTGAGCCTAAGGCTTCTTTGAAGCCTTGTACGGCTCGAGCCTCGTTCAAACACCCCAAAGGGCCTTTCACTGGCTCATGCTGTGGATGGACACCAAATCCATTTCGCGCCACCGAAATGAAACCATGGGCCCATGATTTAAAAAAAAAATAAAAAATGGCTGGTACTTACGGGGGAATCGAATTATTCTGGTGGGAAATGGATTTCATCCGCAGGTCAGGGTTTGGCTGCGGGCTCTTCTAGGCTCTAACTCACGCTGTCCTTCACGGTGCAGCGTAGATCCATGGACTTCGCATCCCAGATCTGCACCTCAGCATCGCCAACCAACACAATATCCCGGGGTAGACATTTGGCCCCTGGAAGAACAAAAACAATAGGCCAGGCCCCAAGTGGACCAATACCAACAAATTTTAAGCACATGCTTTCGATGGAATTTTGGCTCGACAATGGGGTCTCAAAAATGGTGAGACCCCGAAATGGTCGGTTTCCTTTGGTGCCTGGTTCAACCAAGCCCGGAGAAAGAAAAAAAGAATACACACTGCAGTATGGGAATATCAAGTTTGGGTGTCTCAAAATGGAACCCCTTTTGGATGGTTTAAAGATAGTTGTGGAAAGTAACCCTTTCTGCGATACCCTTAGTGGATCTCCCATCACAAAGCTCGGCAATAAAAATATTGTTGTTGGAAGCCATGGTTGGAAAGTCAAAAAACGAAACCACCCGGAGGGGGGCCTTCATTCAAAGGGAAAAAACCCAGTTCAAAATTGACATGGCAATCGCCGCCCAGGCCGTTGCGTGAGCTGTCAAGGCCCGCTTCTCAAAAGTAGTCGCTTCCTTTTTGGCTTCCTCTCAAAACCAGCCACAAAGGGGTTTGTCTCAAGACAGGGGAACCCAAACATGGATGGTTGCTTTTGGCTTCCCATTTTGAGAGCCTCAAAATTATTGGACACCCACAAAACAGACATCCCCAGTCTATAGCACAGTCATCCTTTCGGATGATGCCTGCTCGAACCTATCGTTGCATGAATGTCGGACAATGTCGGACAATGTCAAACTCAGACTAATCAGAATCAAAACTCGGTCTCGGAGCTTCTTTGGGAACCTCCCAAATGCTGGTTGTCCTTTTGGTTTCCCTTTAAGACCACCAAGCAGGGGCACTCTGGACCAAAGACGAGCCATATGTCGAGAATTCATCTGCACAGGGTCCTCGGCGTGTGGAACAACCCGAGCGCAAGTCCCCGGGCAGTTCCGTCCATGCTGCCGGTGGCAAGGAGCAAAGTGCCCTTGGCGTTGCTAAACCTCAGGCTGGAAATGTTCGTCCACCAATGCGTTGCATGGAGGGCCGCTGGTCAAGCGCCATGTTTGGTTTGGCCAGATCTGGGCGAGCCTTTTTCTTGGCTGAAGTGGCAAGCGACCAAGAATCGCCTGGATTTGGCAGTGAGCCATTTCGAGGCAATGGGTAAGGGAATCGGGAGCTCAAAGTTTCAACTTTCAACGAACGCAACAAAGCCTTAACTTCCGGCCCCCGAAGCGTCACATCACCAGGCACCATGGCTCCCACAGTTTAGGGACATCGTTTGAGCACGCCAAGCCACGGAAGCAACAAGAAGAACGAGAAGAAACAAAGCAAGAAGCCTTGCTCCATCCTGATATCACCCGAACCCCAACCCCCACCCTCCGGCCCAAACAAGACAAAACCATGCCGAATTCGGAGAATGAATTCGGCTCACCTCAGAAAAGGCCCACGGGTCCACACGAGCACTCCGCCGTTTTGGGGCTCCGCACGCCACGGCCTCCACCGAGTCGATGTGCCCCGGCAGAGGCGCCAACACCTGGCCGAGTCCAGCCGGATGCTCCAGATCCTCCCGGAAGCTTCGCCTCCGGTTCGTGAATCCGGGTGTTGAAAATGTTGGGGGGACGGGCGGGGATTGGACTCCCTGGTTTTCGGAAAGACATGTGGCGAAAACCCGCCGTTTCTTCGAGTATTTCGGGAAGTCCATCGGGGGAATCCACCACACCGGCTCTTGCCAGAACTTGCGGACGCGCCTTGCCCGTTTCGATCTGCACCACTTTGGCCGTGGCGTCTTCTGCTCCGGTCACCACCTGGGCCGGCGTGTGCTCAAATGGGGTGCCCAAGAAAGGGCCCCCACCACGTTGAGAACCCCTCAAAGGCCCTTGAACGAGCTCATTGATCTGTTGATGGTTGGGCCTCTGTACTTTGCGAGGGCACCCAGTGGCAAAGTTGGGACTTGGGGAAAAATATGACGGCCTTGGGGCAAACCTCCATGAGGGGCAGTCCTGAAAAGAAAGCACAAGCCATATTCTCCTTGACCAACATCCCCGCGCCAGAATCCAGCGCAGTGATGCGCAACAATAGCCTCGGCTGCCTCCACACAATTCACCTCACCTTGCCGAAACTTAACCCAGGCTTGCTGCATGTTGAAAGAATTACAAGCGGACCCGCGCTAGTTGCCAGGTCGGCTCTGGGTCAATGCCAGCCCTGCCTGGCCCAGAGTCTCCTAATTTCGAGGAGTTCAAACGGACCAAAAGGAATTCGAACGAGCTCCAGGAGGCAACAGGAAGGCTTTCGGGCTGTGGATCTCCTCATCTCAGCCTGTTCCCGAAAGCCCCTTTCTTGTTTGAGTCCCCGGCAATCGGCGACTCGGGGTGTGAGCAAATGGAGATGATCGAGCTCTCATGCACCTGGGCGGGGCAGCCTTGTACGAGCAAGCATCGCAAGTCGAATCAAGCGGAGCACACAAGGGCTCCACCTGATATTCTTACCGAATTCAGCGAGCCGACCTCCACCATCTTAAACGCTTGCAAATTCGCAAATCACCCCCCCACGCGTAAGTCAATCATGCGCAATAACTTTATGGAAACTTCAATCATGTGCAATGGGGCCACCCGTGTTTTTAGAATTATCGCCCTGTATTTGCTTTGTTGGTGTTTGGGAAGATGCCTGCAACCACCATTTGCGCTATAGATTGAATATTTGTTTGGGTTCCCTGCACGTCTGGCAGGTTTCTTCGGAACACCACAGACCTCGGAAGGAAAATCAATGACTGCCCTTTTCTTCTGGCCAAGAGGGAGTAGCAGGCTGACACCTACCTCCCCAGACTCACAAGATTCCGCTAAATCTCATTCAGATTGACCCAACTCCATGGATTGGAGGCTGAATGAAGCGGGTCTGAGTTTTTGAATGGTACGCTTTTGGGAAAGTGCCAAAGGGAAGCCAAAAGGAAAACCAACATTTTGGCGGTTCCAGTATTTTGACGCAACCCAAGCATTCTTTCTCATCAAGCACATGGTCGCCCCAAGACTCATCCAAGATTCCGATTGAAATCTTCCGCTTGTAGGTGGCACCTTCAATTCCAAGCAGGTTGTTAGTTCTGCCGGCAAGTTGGAACATCCTCAGGAAACAACACCATGCTTGTTGCAGGAACAAGGCATGCGGCAATGCGCCCTCCCCTTACTAACTCAGCTTGACAAGAGCTTCCTGCTCAAACCCAACATCCAACCGGTATCTTGAGGCCGGGGTTGACCACCTCCAAAGTGGCAACTGTTCGCTGGGGTGAGATGTGATGCATCAGCAAAGGAACATCTTCTGGTCGGCTTTTGCCTCCCGCCAATAACGACGATCCACGATCTGTGACTGTTCGGTTTGCCCGACTATTGTTTCCCGCATCGTACAACACAGACAGCAAAGCAAGCAACTCCTCAACTAAGTTCCACCCCAATGTGAATGAGCCAACCAGCCGACCAACCAAACCCACACTCCCACCAACCTAACCCATCCACCCCGCCCGCCCATGTGGGTGTGACACCTGGATCATCAAATCCTGGCCTTGAACGAGTCTACCCAAAACCACGCACAGAAGGGTGGTGTTTTTCTCGCACCCATGTATCCATTTATGTCAGCATGGTCTTTCCTTCATCTACCCAGGCTTTGATTGTGACGCTTTTGCTAGGCCTCTCCAAACGGGTGTCTTTTTTGGAGGCTACCCTTTTGGCTTGCTTTAAAGAGAGTCCAAAAGGAATGGGCTCATTTAGGGGCTAGCCAAAAATCGCGTGTTCAATCGATGAACCAATAATTCCCTGAGTTCTAGGCTAGATCAACGGGGTTTGCGGGTTGGGGTCTTGGGATTGCCCAACATGAGACCCGCAGCAGCGCCTCCCGCAGGTGGTGCTGCGGCGTGCCAGCTCTGGGGTTCCACCTACCGCCGGCTGCGAGCATTGGCAAATATGATGTGCACCAACCCTAGGCCTGAAACAAGCTCGAGCCCATCGTTTTGTTTTTTTCCTGAGTTTGAACATAGTCTCAGGGGTTGCAAAACATGGTCAAGCACCATGATTGTCTCAACAACCTGAAAGGAGATGCTCCTTTGGAAGGGGACCATGATCTGGTGGGCCATCTGGGCATCTGATTCGAGATCAAACGCTGATTCAAAAACTTGTAGCCGTTTTGACTCGAGACCCTGGACTTCATTTACATGGGTTTGTTTTGTTTCATCTGAACCACTATTCTGTTCAAAAATAGGGCCGGGGGGGGGGGGGGCAGGTGTGGACGACGCATCAGAAAGATCGAGATTTCCTCACCAATTGTAGTGGAATACCACTAAAGCTAGGAATAACAACCCTATTTGTCACAAAGATTAAGATGGACTCAATTGGGGAGGCGTTCGTAAACATCATGTCCATCAACCGGCTTTGAGGCTGTGCGGAACTACTACCATGATTTTGCTAGTGCGCTGAACCCACCAAGCTGAAGCAAGTAGGTTTGATGAAGCTACGTGGCGTTTCACCCTCTGCCGGTTCGATGCAAAGCTTCCAAACCAAAGGGGCGAGTCGGATCCACCAACTACCGGCCACTAGCTCCAACGGGGTCCATGGGAGCTGTAAACCCATGAGAGGCTGACACGATGACACCGTGGTCTTCGGAGCCGGTGACGACGACCTGCGAAGCCGATGCAGAGAGCCGTGAACAACCCGCTCCAGCCAGTTGCTCGGTGGTGTGTGTGTGTGTGTGTGACAAAACCATCCATATCCTGCTCATTCGCTTATCCCTAGCCAGCCAACACTGGATGACTGCTGTAGCCGGCCAGCGGCTCAAGAGAATTCTCTGCTTGGCTTTGCACCGGAAAGGGAACGGGGAGCCCTCTCTCCTTGCCTTTGCAAATAGGGTACCACCAAGGTCAACAGGATCAAAGCGAGTTTGGCAGGTTCGCCTTGACCACTTGGCTCTGGCATGAACAGCAAACCTTGGGCTATAAAGATCGTGGCAACACGAGTCAGCCTGAAAACCGAGCTCCTTCGCAAACCACTTAGCCCGCAAGTCTAGAATACATCGTCAAACGCTACCTTTTCAAAGCTTGGAAGCTCTAAGCTATCGGGCAAATCAGAACACCTCAGTACCAAAAACATCAACATGTTCGTTGGACTGCGTGCGTTAGAGCAAGTGGGGGTGTCCTAGAATTGGACCCCGCGTGTGTTGATGCGTCCAAAGGAACGCCAAGAGGAAACATGCCATTTTCATGCACCACCAAAATGACATGTGGTTCTCAACCTAAAGTTCTCACGACACCACAGGAGACAGGTAGACCTCTACACAAACTGTTGGATGCTGTGTTGCTTCTTGTTTAGGGTAACCCAACTTTGACAAACCAATGAAAGCAACGAAAGGCTGCTACTGATATTTATTTTTGAACACCCTCAACTAGGCTCTCAACACAAAACGACCAAAGGGCCCAGCAAAAGCAAAGCTCAGGCTCCCGTTCGGATTCCACTAGAAGGCCCCTTGAGGAATATGATTCTAGGATCTAAACGTGTGGCCTCCCTTCCACAGGTTCCATGGAGGGAGGCTGCAGCTCGGCTGGCCCATTTGAAGGGGGGGGATCACCCTTGCGAGCTTCAAACAGGTTTGGCTTAAACTAATAGCCCCACCCCCCCAACCAAACAAACTAGTTTCCTTTGGCTTCACCTCAAAACAGGACATACCCAACCCAGGCACCGTGCCCCTTGAGCGAGATCAAACACCAACGCCCGCGCCTTGCCGCCCAGGCCCCAGCACCCGCAGGACACGCCTGGCGCTTTCCGCCAAACGTGAGCCCCTTGTGCCAAATCGGCTTCGAGAGAAACGGGAACAAACCTGACCCGGTCACGGAAGCCAAGGGCGTTGCGCGTGTGGTGTGCTTCGCTTCTCTTTGGTATTTTTTCTGCTTGAGGACGCCTGCCTTTCTTTCGCAATACTCCAGAACCTGACATCATTGCACATCAAAACCTAAGGAACCGCATGACTGGCCACGCGAACTCCTGGCGGGTTTGACTCACACAAAAGGGAGGAGGCCCCTCGTTCAAGTTTAAACCACGGTTGCAAAAGAACCACCTCCTTTTGGTTTCCCCATAACAAACACAACCGGGGGCCAGCAAACCCCGATGTTGTTTCAACAAATGGGTGTCTCTTTTCTGGGTGACCCCCCCCCCCCACCCCAAAGCAAACAAAAAACAATTGGTTTGTCTCTTGGTTTCCCTTCAAAACCACCAAGAAAGGGGCTACCCTCAAAAGGCAAGACGAAGGAGCACACCCAAGTGCCCAGGCTTCTTTTCCAACCCCAGCGACTGAACGGACAGCTGCCTGCCCCGTGCCCGGCGAAGATCTGCATCACTTTGCCCGTGGGCGCCTGAGGCTTGCCGAATCGGTGACCGGTGGTGACCGGTAGTGAAGTGGAGGGGGGGCTCAAGAGAAGCCGGGGTGGGTGTCCCCCAGTTCCATTTGTTCAGTCTTTCCAAAGAGAGAATGATGCAGTGAAGCTCAGCGTGTGTTTAGCCCCTGTGGAGACTCCTCTTCAGCAGGCTCAGGCCACTTAGCTGATCGCACCATGAAAATCCTGGAGAGAACGCGAAAACCAAAGCAGCTTGAGCCGGCGAACGCGCGAACCAGACAAGGGTCTCCGGATTTTCCGTGTGTATTTCAATGCAACCAGCGCTCCACATTGGGACCTTGAACAAAGTAGAAACAGGAATCAACATCCAAATTGCACCTGAAAGATGATGTTGGACCCTCCAAAAAGGTGGTGGTTCTCCTACATCGTGACCAGAACTTTCCGGGCACCGCCCGAAAAAAACTCAGGATCCAAAAACCCAAGTTGGAGGCCCCGGGCCCACCACATCCACGCCATGGTGTCATTGGACCCCCCGAGGATGGCGTGGCCTCCAAGGCGAGGATGAGGTTGAGTGAAACTGGAGCTGACATCCACGAAACGATCGGGAAGGCTGCTTGAAAAGACTATCCGTTTTAGAAGAATCTCCCTTTGTGGGTTCCCCGTCCATTGTTGCAGGTGATATCAAAACGCCAAAAGGAGCTGACTGGATGAGCGCCGGGAAAGGTCATCTGGTCCAGGCACCACAGAACTGGCGTGGAAACCTTGTGTCTGGGCTTTGTGGCTCGTTGATTGGCTTTCTTTGTTCAATGGTCACATCTCCCTGCTCATTTGCTCGTCCCAAAAATCCGGTACCCATCCCTCGATCCCCCTCAAACCATGCCCTGGGCAACAAATGGCGCGCGCCTTTGGGGTGCCAAAGGATCCATTCCACTTCCTGGCGGTTTGGACACCCAGAAGTCGCAGGCTGGCCAGGAAAACGGCCCAGAGTCAAACCAAAAATACCGCCTGGGGCCGAAAACCTGCTACTCTTTAAGTTTCGCCTTAAGTTTCTGTAGCACTGCCTGCTGGCTTTCAGGGAAGCTTGCCCTGGCAAAGCAAACATGTCTGGTCTTGTCAATCAAATGGGCATTCCCTTCATTGCCGTTCTTGGTTGTGGAAACCGTTGGAAGAGCAATTTCAAACGCTGGCGAGTTTGCTTGTGGTGCTCAACATGAATTGAACAGCTGATCCTTACAACGTGGACGCCAGTGGATATCAGCTAAACTAGCATCCCAAAAGAGCTGGACTTTAGCATATGCGGTGCTGGATCTCAACTCAACCAGCAGTCCTTGAAGCGCGGAGGTTAACATTCATGAACAACGTCATTTGAGAAGCAATTAGTGACTTTGGTAGTGATGGTTACCAGTTGAAAAGAGCAACCATAAACCGATATGCATAAAATACGCACATAAACCTGTGCGGTAGTTAGGTGCGCTGAAACGTGGGAGTTCAGATTGGTGGCGGCGGATGTCAAGCAAACGTTGCGAGTTCTTCGTCACCTGGGGAGGTGTGGGGATGTTGTTTGGCTAGCGCCAACATCAGAAGGCCAGCTCCCGTCCTTCGATGGTCCGTCCAGGCTCTGGACCAGCGATCCGTCTGCCGCACTCCAAATCCTGGCGCAGGCAAGAGGCTGCACGTGGCATGCGGCAGGATGATGAGTCCTAGGACAAAAAAAAGAAAGCTAAAAGGTGATGGAAGCCACGGTCAATGTTGGTTGTGTCACCAAGAGATATTGGGCTTTGACGAATTCACTATCCAATGGTAGTTTCGTGAGCGTACCCAATCCCGTCCCCTTTGCTGCACAAAGACGAAAGTGAAGATCGACCGTTGCCCATGTAAGCCATGCTCGCTCAGAAGTCTCGTCTGACAGAATCGCATCTCCTGCCTCACGGTTCCGTCATATGAGGCAGTGGCCGCATACACGCCGTCTGTGCTAAAGGCGACCTGGCCCCATCGGTTTCCCATACCAACCGTTCACTGGCAATAATAGGTCGGTAGCTGCCAAAGACGTTGCTCAGCTCGCATTGATGGTGCCTTGTGGCCTCTCAAAGAGCAACCGCCAAACGATACGGACGTTGGAAGGACACACTGTCGGACTGTCTCAAAAGGAGCCTCCATGATTGACCAATCCTCTTTGCCGTCAGACCCATTCAACAGGATGTAGGGGTCCCTCTCAACAGCATACCATTCACGGCATGGTCCACAACTTTGATTCGTGTAACCTTTCACATCCTCATGACCACATGCTCCGGGCATCTGCCAGGTTCACAGGCATTGTACGTCCCTCTTTCCGACCCAAAACATCTCTGGTTCAAACTTGATTACGTACAGTAGCGTGCCTTCTGGTGCCTTTAAACATAGCCGAAAATGAAGTTGTTTCCACGACCCCGCAAGGAATCCCTCGCCTCCACCACCGAATCGGTGTGGCCTTGCCTCAGGGCAGGGATGCTTCTCTCAAGCCTTGCTGTCGCGTATGTTCAGGTGCAGGACATGTTGCTGCGGCACGTGGGTGTGTCCTTGTTTGAGGGTATCCTTTTTGGGGTTGGTTTAAAGGGAACCCAAGTATCCATTTGGGGGTCGCCTGTTCGGAAAACAGACAAACCCACTTCTGAATCTGTGAACACTGTGACGCTGTCAAAACTTCTCCTGTGGCCCATGGTCGTAGTTCCTTCAATGTAAATCCTTGTGGCACCTCTCCAAGCCCCTGAACATCCTGAGTGACCGTTAGTAATCAAGTTTCTGGGCCATACAAGCAAAGTGGGCAACCACCAAAAAATGGCTGGCTTAGTTTCTGCGCGACTTAACCATCCAAAAGGCGTTTCCCGAAGACAAAACCAACGTTTGTTTGACTCCCCTGAGTTCTGTGAACCTTTTCTTGAGTCTTCCTGTAAGACAAACCAAAAAAACACCTTTCCTTTTTTTTGCGGGGGGGGACCCTGTAAAACGAGCCACAGCCAAATAGACCGTCCGGAACTCCTGACACCCGCCCACAATCCACTAGGGATCTGGCAGGCGACACCTCTCGGTGCAGCGCAACCCGCCGTCCTGGAGATCGGCACAGGCGAGACCCTCTGATGAACTTGCGATCGGTGCCTTAGGCAGGGAGAGAGCTGTCCCTTTAAGGGAATCGCCAGGTTCAGTACATGCGATCAGCGCGCTAGGCAGGGAGTGAGTTGTTCCTTTAATCTAGGGGAATCCCCAGAAAACATTCCATTTCTCATTCCCTGAGCAATAACCCCCTGAAGACCAATAGGAATAATTCATTGAATGACCCCGGATTAATTCCACCCCAGTGATTAATCAGGCAGAGTCCCTTTTAGTGGTTGGATTCCCTTCTTCTGGGGGGATCGGGACTGATTCAGAACTGGGGGTTAATCAGGGGTCAGCATTCAGAGGGAAGTCAACCACATGGGTGCAGCCAGATGCTATGCGAAGCCAAGTGACTTTGGGAAACCAAGATGTTGGAGGATTGAAAATGGCCGACCATCCTCATCAAACCAAATGGTAGAAACTCCTACCTAGAATCGCCAACGGCCTTTTTGGGCACCTCTCATCTGTCTGATTGAGAGCTTGCTGTAGTGGTCCCAATCTATATAAACGTGTTGGTGGCCCTTGCCCGCCCTCGTCTCGGCGTATATTCCAAAAATGGGGGGTTAAACTACTAAAGAGACCACAAAGAAACAAGAGGCTGGCCCTGAATGTGCTTCCCACACCGAAGCCCACACCATGCTCAGTCACAAGACGTCACAAGACGTCCCAACCTGCCCAGGCCCCGCCTTTTCGTGGATGGTCCACAGGACAGCCACGTCATCCTGGAAGAAACAAACGCCCGCGAAAAGATTGAAGAAGCCCAGGTGGTATCCCCAACAGCCCTGGAACCCCCTTCAAAAAAAAAAAAAAAAACGGAACCGGTAGGCTCCAAAGGCGGCAGTTGCAGTTCTTGGTCCTTCCAAACCCTTCGATTGCAGAAGGCCAGACACGGCCAAACCTCCCATCCTGTCCTGCCCTCCGGTCAGCAGCAGGCTCCTCAAATGGGGGAGGGTTGAGTGCTCAATGCAGTTGCTGGTGTCCTTCTTGTTTCCCCTCGAAATGCCAATGCCAGCCAAAAAGGGGGCTCCCTATTTGGAGACAAACCCATTTGCTTGCCGCCCCAAGCAGTTGTCACCGCAATACTTAAGCCTCTCTCCGTAGGGTACAGTCATCACTCCTGTTCCATGGGCCGCAATGAAGGTTGTAAGCACGGCAATTGGGCGGTTGAGGCATAGCGCAGACTGACACACGCTCATGACCCATGCTCATGACATATTTAGACCTTATGACTGTGTGTCACAAAACATGGACCCAGTTTGGGAACAACTTTGAAGCGGAGCCAACTAAAAAAGAAAGAAGGCAGGGCCGTTAGATGCGACACATGTCATGATCGGATCAGGTGTCAACGTGGATCCACCCAAGACCATTAACAAGAATCAAAAGGGAGGATATACGTACCAATTTAATCATTGGGATTGCCCGCTGGTTTGAATCGTGGCTATGCCCTGGTCATGTCAACTTCGGATAAATCCGAAGACCACATCAATCAAGGGCGGCTCGCCTTTTAGCAAGATAATGATGCCGTTTTAGGTCAATCTCTCTCTGATCAGCCATCCCTTCCTGTCAAGCCCACGCATAAGTCCAAAGAGCTTCCCTAACTGGGTAAACGTGTCAAAGTCACAATTTGGACCCAAAACGAAGCGGGCTCCAGCGTCCCCTAAAGCCAAGCTTAAGGGTATCTCGGAAGAAGCACAGCCATGAAACCATTTGACACCCCTAAAGGGAATCCATACGGGTGACTTCCAACAAGAAACCAAATGGATATTCCCATGTCACCGCTTCTGGTATCATCCTGTAGCTCGGGTCGGCGCCGGTCTGTGGGGCTGAGGGCCACGGAGAGCACACTCTCGCCGTGGACCTCGGAGCCCGATGTCACGGGCTTGGTTTGTTTTTTTGTTTTTTGTGTGTTCTTTTTATCTCAAGGCAGGGTCCAAAAAGGGGCCTAGGGTGTGGGTCAAAGTAAAACCACCAGGGGACCGGGTCCCAAAAAAGCCTATCTGGGTATGGATCAAAATTAAACCACCAGGAATTGGACCGCTGGTTTTGGTCCATGGTTCCACAGGGCAACCCATTTTGGGTACATATTTTGGGCCCACAGCCATATCTTTGACAGCCACCCAGATAGGTCTACTTTTAGTTGAGAATACTGGGCAAAACCTGTTATCAAGTGGTGTGTCCTTGAATTTATAGGGCTTCGTCCGTCACAACTGGTGCAGGATTTTGTCCATCCACGCAACATCTCACGGAGGGAAGCCTAATTTTAGGTACGCACTACAAATTTCTCCAATTTCATGCCAAGAGGAAACCTACACCTTTAGGTAGGCCATACATTTTTCCATCAAGGCAGTGTCAAAAGTACATGGGAAAGAGAGCAACATGCCAGAAGTTCAACCACCACCCGAATGAGATGGCCGTTCATTCCACTCTCCAGGTCCACCTCTGGGGTCCAGACCACTTTGACCTCAACGCCGTGCGCTTTGGCGGCGCGCGAAAACGCGAAACGAAGACACAAGGGTCGAGTTTATCCACCTTCTTTGGGGCATTGGTCTTTTCATCTCAAAGTGTCCATGGCAGCACGTTCAAAGCGCGAAAATCGCCTAATGTCCATGGCACCCTTTGGTTGTTGCGGCAAAAAACGCCTTAGCAAGTGTCTCTGGCAGCCCCCGGCATGAGAGAACGGCGATAGGGAATGATGGGGTCTGATGTGCACCGGTGATCCTGATAGGTCCGTGGGAGGCGAAAGTTTGTCAGGCAGGCATGTGTGCGTGTGTATGTGTGTCTCCGTTGTCTTCCTGTGTTCCAAAGCAGGGTTGTAGGAAGTAACTATTTCTGCGATAGCCAAGTGGGCTTCATAACCTCTTTCAGGAGATTCTCCTACTATGGCTGGAAGTAAGGCCTTAGAGGGAGGGATTCCCAATGTCTCCCAAACCCCCAAACCCCCAAACAACCCCAACCCCCAAACAACCCGCAAACCCCCAGACCCCAAACCCCCAGACCCCCAGACCCCAAACCCCCAGACCCCCAAACCCCAAACCCCCAAACCCCAAACCCCCAAACCCCCAAACCCCCAAACCCCCAGACCCCCAGACCCCCAAACCCCCAAAGCTCCAAGTACTTCCTCCAAACCCCCAGCTGTCCACATAAGGTAAGCGCCAGGGAGTCATCTACCTGCGGCCCAGTGTCCTGGCGAAGAGCTTAGAGAAGGGGGAGTTGGGACAGTCCCATTGGCTTCCTCTGGGTGTCCTTTGTTCTACCAACGCCAAAAACGAGCAGGCAAACATATAACAGACAAACATGAGGAAGGATCGCTGGCTCCCTGAACTGCGCTTCTTCAGTGCTGAAGACCACCAGTTCAAAGAGACCGGTCAATGAAGTAAGCCGAGTGGGGTCCTGCCAGTTTGGACTGTTTCGCTTTGGTGTCCTTTTGAAAACATCCAAAAGGAGTCCCTCGTGTTTAAAGAAGGCCATGTGGTCCCAGAAACTGGGACCAAACTGACGGAGAGAGAAGAGCCCGGACAGCCTCATCTGAGTAGATCTCGTTCTCCGGGATGACTCCAATCTGCCACAGCTGAAGGTCACCCAACGTCAACCACTTCAATCATGCCATCTGCACCCCCACTTGGGTCTCTTGGGTCTGTGTCAATATACGGGGACCCGCCAAAATGAGTGGCTTCCCTTTGGCTCCCCTTCAAAACGAGCCCCCTCGAATAGGGGAACCCTCAAAACACGCACCCTCGTGCAGGCGCTCCGCCAAGCCTCCTCGTCATCATCTCCAGCCATGCCGTCGCCTGCACAGTTGATCAACCTGTGCTGTTTCTCCGAGGCCTGAGAGCCCCCCCTTGATGTTACCTGAACCAACGCAAGAAGACTCTGCCTCGGGCACCACCCGAACAACTGACCTGCTCCCTGAGCACGAGTAGAGTCACACTTGCAACTGTAGTTATGTTCATGCTTCTGCTTGTCATTTTGTTCGTGGTTGTGCTTGCATTGTGCTTGTGCTGGTGCTCGTGCTTGTGCGCCAGCACCTGCGTGCGCACGTGGGCGCGCGGGCGTGCGAGCAGGCGTGCGCGCGGGCGGGCTCGCATGCGCGTGCGCGTGTTGGCGTGTGCGTGTTTGCTTGCTCGTGCGCGCACAGTGAGACACAGTGGGTGTCAATCAGTGGTTTGGTCTCTCTGATTGTTGCTGAATCAGGCACATCCTCCAACTCGACAGCATCTGTCCTTCATCATCGTCTGGGATGTCGTCATCCTCTCGGCTGCGTGGTGCTTCCCTGGGTGGCACTTGACCAAGATTTTGGGCAGCACAAAATTGAAGAGGAGAGATTGGGGCTACAAACAAAATGCTTTGTGTGCATGTGCAAAACAATTAAGGGTAGAATCATGTATCCTGAAAAGCAAGATTGAACCTGGCAACCATCCATTGAGAGAGGAATGTCATGCCAAAAGTATATATGATGAGGTTCTAAGCTCGATGGCAAATGCTTCCTTGGTCGACTCAGACACATACCCATCGCCCACGCTTCGACCCTTTGGTCTCCTCGAACTCCACCTCCAGGCAGTCTGTGCCCCGGAACTCGCTGTCCAGTTGCTGGCCCTCTTGGCCCCCGTCCCAGCTGTGGACCACATCCATGTCCTCCGAAAAGGGCTCGACGGCTCGCGCCCGACCAGCGAGAGCGGGAGGGTGACACATCCGTTGATTTGTTTGATGGCTCCACTGGACTCACTGGGGTAATTGTCCGTTGCAGATGAGAGCGTTGGGGTGGTTCGCTCCTTACAAATAACGGTTGCAAGCTGGCTGTCTGAGGCATGATCCTCCAAGTAACATGAACTATCCATCTGCATGTTTGTTCACTTGCTTGGTTTCACGTAAAAAGAGCAAGGGGCAATGGAGTACCTTAGTCTACCGCAGGGTTCTCAGCCTAGACAAGGTTGCCGTCCCCAAGCGCGGCGCCGAGAGCTCGGAAGACTCTTCCGCAAGCGGCCGTCCTGATCATTGCCAGCGGAGCCCTGCTCATTGGCCATTGGCCTTGCCAACTGATCACCGCATGCGTGCCTTGCTCTTTCTGATGCGCGTTGCTCCACGAAATCCTGTCCGCCTCGTCCTTTGCTTGGGACATGATCCAACTCCACTTTTCTTGGGGCCACGGTGAAGGAAGACATACCTCTGGTGGATAGGGTCCAAAGGAAAGAGGCAAGCCACTGGCGAGCTGGACAAAGCATCTTGGTGGTGGGTGATCCTACTTTCATCCCAAGTGAGGGTGGGGGCAGGGTCCGAAATCTGCTTGAGAAGGATCTTGGATTGCCACCTCGTCTTTCATTGCAGGAAGCCATTGCCATGCCCCACAGATGGCAAAGTTCGGGCTATGCCACATGAGACTTGGCACCATCACGCTGATTGCCTTTGTGGGGTGGTCCTTCAGATTTCATGTAAGCGCATCAGAAGTTAGCTAAGTTGGATGTGTCGTGTGCCTGTGAGTAGATACCCTTGCTCACCAGATACCGCAGAGCAGTGTCACATTTAACCAGGGCAGCTCCTCAAAAAAGGAATGCCCTCACAACAGCGGTTGATGCTTCACCTAGGTGCTTCCTGGGAATTCTGATGCGTGCGCTTTGCGAGAAGACTCTCTACGATGGCACTTGGCATTCGCCGACTCGAGCACTTATCCAGTCATGTTCTCCTTTTTTCCCCAATCAAGGAAGCTTAAACAGATCATAAATCTTTTGGCACCCAGACAACGGACATTGAAAGTTGGAACCGTGGTCTTTCAGCCCGTTGCTCAGCTCCCACAATGCATGCACTCCGCGCCTGAGTCTTATCAGGAACGCTGGAAGCAATCTGGAGCGGCCAGGCCGATCGTTGTTCTCTCTGGCTGGCTCTGTTCGCTTGGATGGGTGCTATCTAACAGTGCTTGTGTGTGTGTGTGTGCGTGCCTCTTGCTGTCTACGCTGGGATGCTGACACGTTGCACTTGGCGAATGCATCGCTCGTGCCAATGGCCGGTGGTCTTTGCAAACAGCTACGGCGAAAAAGGCGGCCGCATTGGCTGGAAACAAGGCGAGCAAGCCCGCAGCCAAAAGAAACAGGCATGAAAAGCACCATACTGTGGATGGGCGCAATCCTGGACAATGGTTTCAACCATGGTTTCAGTATGGTGCTCCTCCCTAAGGATGTGCAGCTCTTTCAAGCACAAACTGTTGGCCTGTCGGCAAGCCGTTCCTTGCATCTTACAACCCGGGGCTGTCATCCTGGCGTTGCCCCAATTTACTCGGATACCACCCGCTCCTTTGGCCAGATACCGGCTAAGTATGGCTCAGGTAAATTTATTTCCATACATACATAAATACACAGACACATGTAAAGTTTGGAGGCATTCAGGGTGACAGTACTTGAAGCTCGGAACTGAACCGCCAGGGCTCGAACCCAAACCCCGCCAAGCAACCCGCCCCCTCCCAACCAAGGCAGACAGGTGGAGGGCGCGCCGGGTCGGTGATGTCGTCACCCAGGACTTGGGCCTAAGGAACGATCGAGAAGGATGGGACATGGCCCTTGGTTGATGCGTCCCTGCAAAGAGCCTCAACAAAAGTGCGAACGAGAACATCTATGCAAATCCTGCAGTGGTTCAAAACCTCAACTAATACGCCGAAAAGCATTTCAAGAAACTTCCCTAGAACCTGCCTGGAACCCGCCGGAACCTGCTAGACCTTCATTTGCGTCTATTCTTGCATGTTGAATTTCTCTCTCTCTCGCTCTCTCTCTAGACAAGCTGAGACAAATGCGAAGCAAAAACAACACGTTTTTATGTCAAGGGCTAAAACAGGAATGGCAATATAGGACAAGAGTTCTGCAGTCCAATATGTGGTCATGCAGATGCCACGAGAGGGTCAAAGAGTAGTAATAACCTTTAGAAATGGTGTCGGATCGCGATTTGCTATTCTTTCCACCAAACCGTGTTTCAGGATGCGGACGAAACAGAGCAGCAAGTTGGCTAGGGTGCTGGAGGCCCCTTGCATTCTACCGCCTTAAAACCCTATTTAGGCGGGGCCTCCATGCCTCCAAAACCGTGCTTGCAAGTTGTGAACAAGGGCAAACCTGTAATCCACCATGACTTTTGGATGTTTGCGTCTTTGTTTAGGAGATCAACCATGCTTCACCATGTATGCGAGTTTGAGCCTTCTATGTTTCAGGGGGAAGAACGCAAAATTAGCGTGTATTATGGTAGTTGTCGGCACTTGCAGTCGAAACAAACCAAATCAACGATATTCCAGCCTTTAAAAGCCTCACCCCCATGCCCACAGATTAACCTGGGCCGCCACTTCACAGTCTTACACTTTGAGGGGAAACGCAAAAACTAGAGCTGAAGCCTATGAATCTGCACTAAACTACAATTTGTCCACCTGAATAGGAATTTGTATTCCCAAAGGAAACCTCATGGGTCCCAAGCTCGCTTTCCACAGCGCGTTTTACCGCCAAATCGGTGAGCTTGCTAAAATGATTGCTTAAATGGATCATTAAATGGATCAGCTGAGGCCCATTCAAACCGCGCGTGGCAAGCGCACAAGCTTCAAACACCCTAAACACCAGGCGGATCCAGGAGGAAAAGCAAAGGCTTTTGCTCAGATCAGCGGGGTGGAGTCTTTTCACAAGCCAAGGTCCCGGGCAATGCGATGAAGGTTGGAGAAGTCGATCTTCTTGTCCCTGCCAGCCAGCCCCAAAACGGGGCCAGTGAGGAACGCTTCGGGAGCTAAAGGCGAAAAGACTTTCCGGCTTTGAATGACTTGCGTTGGGAACGCACACAATGGCAGTTGGAGGCCGAAGCCCGGACGAAAAGGCTTGATGGCCATTCTCATCTCAAGCCGAGAGAGAGAAGGTGGATCGACCCTGGCACAAATGCCGTTCTGTGCTGCAGACTGCAGAGGACGAGTGAGAGGACGAATGGACATCCATCATCTTCGAAGTAGTCAACACACTCGATTCCAAATTCCTTCTACCAGAAGCCCCCCAAAATCACCGCCCCAACCCCCTGTGTCTATTCAAAATAGGGCACTCGAGATTGCCTCAGCAAGCGCCAGTGTTGAAGAAAATGCAGATGTTGGGGGAGGGGGGGGGGGGGTTGGATCCATGCATGAACACATAACCCTGGCACGCACTCTCGGTAGTATTGCAATTCCAAAACCGATTGAATGCGGCGATCCGCGAGTTTTTCATGAAGCTGCTTTAAACTTCAAGTCCAATAGAACCAAGGACAACTGGGTTGACACCCACCAAAAAAATGCCCCATGACTGCCACCTCAGGTCCAAAAAAGAGAGGAGAACAAAAGCAAACTGCGCCCCCCCCCCGGCCCCCCCCCCTGGGGGTTTCAAGTCCGTCTGCCTCTTCTCAGGCTCCAAGTCATCCAAAAAGTCGAAGACCTCCTGCATGTTGTCCCTGCCATAGGCTAGGTGTCCCCGAGTTCCCCCCCCAAAAAAAAAAGAAAGAAAGAAAGAAAGAACCGTCTCCAAGCTAGGTTGATCAAGATCTACACCGTCTCCTTCTAATTTCTACACCAGGGAAACCACGATCTGAGTACATGAAATGAGGATGGATCGATGTTGAAGAAGCCAGTCAAATGAGCCCTGATATCCGGGACTATTTGTTGGGTGGTGTTGCAGGGGAACCAAAGATCATCTTTTCCGAGGCTTAGGAGGCCTTGTTGCTGGACACACACGCACACGCATGGCTGCTTGCATGGCGGCTTCCTTAGTTTAAGTGAACACCGACCGCTCATAGACTTTTCGACGCGATTCGCCATGAACGTGGCGCGTCTTGGCAAGGGTCGACTGCTCTGGTCACGTCTTTTTTCGAGGTTACCCCGATGTGCAGTTGTACATGTCGACCCTGGCACCTATTTGACACAGCCAACTAAGCTTGTCAAAAGTAGGAGGCAGGGCGCTCACTTTGTGAGCCCCGGCCATAACATACCGCATGCCCGCACACATGTAACGTTCAATGCGGTTCACTTGAGCCAGGTTTTTGACATGTGCAACTTCCTGTGCGCTTTCGGAAGATGGCGCTAGGGCGTGCATCAGGCCAGGAAGTCGTCCAGCGATTCGATCCTGGCAAGTAGCCATGTGCAAAGCACGTCCCAAGTCCTTGCTTGCCCCACGGAAAAAGAAAATCGCCGGCTGATAAGCCGTGGTCAAAATCGCCATCTGGTTTGCTTTTTGCATCACTTCCATTTGCATGTGGTACTCTGACGACATTGTCCTATGTCATGCGCTTTAGAACAGCAGATTCAAATACCGATGAATTGACCGTCGCTCATGTGATAAACTCATGTTTGCCGATTTCCCCAGAAGAAACTGTTTTTATCGGGTCGATTTTTGACAATCACTTGCTGGCAGCAAATCTTGCAGCCAGGCAAGGAAACCATTGGCCAGCCTGGGAAACCCGAAAATAAATCAGGGCCCCTTCTAAGCGAATGGCTTCGTGGCCGCCAAGCATCCACAATCTCCCCATCCTCCAAAAAGCACCGCCTAAATGATAACACGTCTCACGGAGAACCGGATCCGTGCCAGGGAGTCGAGGCAAGCTTCGGTGACTTTCTGGGGCAACCGGCCTATTTCGGGCGCCCTCACCTCCGTTCCCATGACTCTCATAGCATGTGTCCTTGGTTCGAACACATGAGGAGCTCCCACGAAAGGAGGCTAATGCTGATTCCAACATCCAAAAGAAGGGTCCCAGCTGGCCTGGACCCCTGGGTGTGCCTCCTTTTTTTGGAGGGGGGAACCCATGTTTGTGTGGTTTCAAAAGGAAACCAAGAGTAAAACAGCCCATCTTCGGGGGGTCCAACACCTTCAAAACGACCCTTCCCACACGACTTTCGCAACGGCGGAGCGCCTGCGGGATCGCACCTCGTGACCCAAAAATCCGCTGGTTTGGGCGCGCTGCCTTGCCCTTTTCATGGGAATCGCGACATGGGGTATGGGTCAAACCTGGAAAAAAAAGGGCAGGAACCGCAGGTTTGAGTTTCCAGGCTTTTCCATTTCCCAACCCATTTTGGGGTTACCCCAGTTTTTGAGCACCCAACTAGAGCTTCTTCTTCTGTCACTCCTTAATCAGGATTCTCACAAGCGGGCGGCTTAGTGCTGCTTTGGATGACCGAAATGCTGCAAGCAGGAAAACGCAGGAAGCCCTGTAACTTTGCCACAACTTGCCTGGGTTCTGTGGTTGAGTGGCTCACTTGCAAGATTTAGGGAATCCACTCCGGCAACTATTCATGTTGCGACAGCCCTCAGGACTCGCAACCAAACCCAACTTGGCGCTGCGTGATATCTTCCTCAGTGAGTGGCCAGAGGGGGAACGGCTTTGCTGCCGGCTGTGCGGGGAAGAGAAAAAAAAAAGTCAAACACGGGCAAAGAGGCTGCAACAAAGTGCCAACGGAGCCAAAAAAAAGTGTTGAAAGGAACCTGAAAGGAAACCCACAGACCTGTTCCAGGACTCACCAAAGAACCTGGGGCAGCCTGGAGCTTGCAGTGGCGGAACCTTCGAATGCTCCTGGTTGGCTGGTTGGCTGGTTAGCTGGTTGCTTGGTTGCTTGGTTGGTTGGTTGAAAAGAGCGGTGATATGTGGGAATAGATCTTGAAACGATCCTGGTTCCTTCGGACGGCAGTTGTGCGGCCCAACATGCCCTCTAGGAATAGGACATCCCATGGACCTCACCGCTGAGATGCCAGCGATTGCTTTGCCAACAAGAAGATGTGTCCTCTATTTTTGGGCGTCCCCTACAGGGAAACCTCCATTACTAGCCAGGGAACAAGCCCAAAACGGCCGCCTGTCAAACTGACAGGTCCCCCAAGTGGTAGGTCTCATGCTTTCCGCTTAAATTAGCCCCACAGCCCACAGCCCCTCCAGTGTTCCCACCTGCACGGTTTCCGCTTCCAGGAATACCTCCAGAAGTCGCCACTCTGAGTTCTCGGGAGTTGAGCAAAGAAAGCAGAAAAGCATCTCCCTTGGCAACTTTCCCGGCCTCCGCCCCCGTTTTTTTGGGGAGTTTGCCTTCTCTACAAAACACCAAAACTTCACCGGCCATGCCCCGCGCGCCAGTGGAACACTCCATGGGGTCCGCGTTCCATAAAAAAACACCCGAAATGATAAAACGGGTTGTGGCCTAGGGCAAGTTCGACCATCCCTGGACCATTGGGGGACGTAAGCAGCTCCAAAGCTGTCTTCCCACAGCCTGGATCGGTCAACCCAGTGTTTGATGCTGTCAGCTGGGCAGTTTGCTCGTCCCTTAACACAATTTGGATGTCTTTGTCACAAAATCAATGGATGCGGAGAGTCAAGAGTGTCCTCAAAAGCACATGCACAATTTAGGCAAAGAACTAGTTGATCGTTGACCATGGCATGCCAACCAGCCATTTTTTCGTCTGTTTCCCTGGCAATCATAGTGAAAAGCCTGCAAGAAAATGACTTCATCCCCCAACACATGGGTAGCTGTCAAATCTAAGGATCTCATTTGAGACAAAGCTCCAACAAAGAGATACACCCAGAGTTGCGCGAGGAATCGCGAGACCGCCTTCAATGGCGCGCTAAGAGTGGAAGTGCATACCCATTGTTCATAGTTGGCCCCGAATCGCCCGTCAACACATACACCTTGTGATCTCAACAGAAATGTTTATAGGGGACCCTTCGGTGGATATCTTTTAGGTTGGGATGCATGTCCAACCACTTTTGAGGTGTCTCCCTTAAAATTCATAGCCATATATTGGAGTGTCTCAAAAGAAGGGAACTCCCACAATGCCTGGTTTCGTCTTGGCTTCCCTTACCAACCCACAACGGGCACCCTCAAAAAAAGGCGAGCCACCCATAGGCGTCCGCACCTCCAAGTCGATTGGTTCGGCGGACGAGGACTCAGAGGGCTCCTCCATCAGCGGAGACTGCGGCTGCCAGATCTCCGGGCTCTCCTGAATCTCTCCCCAAGTTTCCAGCTTCGATTGTCTGTCTCAAGAGGGGGGTCCGTGCTTCCGACAAGCTGGAATATTTCTCACGGTGCTGGTAATACTGGTGATGCTAGTGATTATGCTGGTGATGCTAGTGATGCTGATGATGCTACCTGCAATTGTAATGTTAGTGAGAGATGCTGGTGCAATTCATAATAATTATGCTAGTGATGCTGGAGATGCAGGAGATGCTAGTGGATGATGATGAAGGTCATGTTAGGTGGTGCAGGTGATGCAAATGATGTGAAATGATGCAGGTGATGCAGGTGATGCAGGTGATGCAGGTGATGCAGGTGATGCCAATGATGCAAATGATGCGGGTTGTTGGATGTGGGGGGGTTGGCTCTTGAGGTCACCAAGCGAAGATAGTTTGAATTGCCTGTGCGCGTGTGTGTGTGTGGGCGTGCGGGTGTTTGCCTGTGCTGTGTGTGTCTGCAGGAATGCACAAAGATTCGAAACAGCGACGTGGTTGTCTCACTCCTACTTCCGTTTCAAACATCCAAAGGGTCTGCCACACGAGTCCTCAAAGGGCTGGGTGAAGGGAATCCTGCGTTCTTGGATGAGGACACCCGCACCTCGCTGGCACCACTGAAGCGTTCTCGATCGCTGCAAGTGGTCGAGATGGTCGCTGCGTCTTTCTCCTCGTCAGCCTGGCAAAAACGACAGCAACCAACAGCTTCCTGCATCTGGGCATGTGTCCGAAATACGGTGACACCTGTGACCCCAATATTGGTGATTGTCCTTTGATTTCTTTTCGAACCAAGGTGAAAAGGGTACCCTCGAAATACACACATCCTTCTTTGCTGACAAGCTTGGAGTGGATGAGGTTTTTCCTATGAGGAAGAAGTCTCCTTTTTGGCATTGATTCGCATACGGTACGAACTCAATCAATTGTTTCTTTCTTGTGCCAGCTTCTCCCTCTACATTGACCAGAAGGTCATTCATGCGTCGGCGGTCGCCATTAGGAAATTAACTCCCACTGGAGGCAATCAACGTATGAGTGCGCCCACGTTTAGTTTTGTATGCGTGAGGTAGCTCATGGGCCGTTCATTCTTGAACCCTCGCATCCCATGGATCAAGACATGCCTGTCCGTTCCGTTTGACCCCAAGGTAGACTTTGGGACTGGCTGACTGCCTCAGAGCGGGGAGATTTTTCGGGGTTTGCCCCCCCCTTATCCAAATAGTCTTCCGAACGGAAAGTGGATGGGAGGCTGAGTGTGCCTTGGGGTAATCAAAAGATTGCACCGGGTTTACACCAGGCTGAAGCTATGGCACGATTCCCTGTGGGTAAGTAAAAAGGATGGCCAAAAACAAAGTGAATCGCATTGCTGTCATTTAGCCAAGAAGTTTAAAGTCGAGCAAGACGGGCCAAGCGAGCATTGCGCCATCTGGGTGTTGCTCGAACAATGATGGATTTTTCCAGGGTGGTGCGTAAACCCCAAGAGAGGCCTCCATTTTGAGAAGCCCCCATCTACTTTCACCACTGAAACAACATCTCCCACGTCTCCCACGTCGCACCGCAAAGGAGGACGTCGCCGGCGATCGCGCCGAGTCATGGAAGCCTCCGGGTCAAAAGTCAGCCGAGTGGCCCGGGGGGTCATGTCCTCTTGATGGCACCCCGGGAGTTTTGGGTTCCCCACTGTGCGGCCGGCGGAGAGAGGGGAGGTCAAATAATGCCTTAAGGGCTCAAGAAGAGCTAGTTTGAACTCCCTCCCCGTGACATGAACGGCCAATTGGGGGTTGGGCATTGTTCCCAGGACCAGCCCTAGCAACCCCACGCAAGCAGGTTTTGCCACTGGTGCTGTTTGCCCGCCTGGAAGGGAAGGGCCATCTCGGGCTTTCCGCGCGCAGCACACGACCTTGGGGCGAAGGAAGATCTGCACTCCAGTGGAGTCATAATCAACACCTATAGTAGCACAAAGGAGTCAACCCCAAAATGGTTGGGACTAGGAGCACATTGCTAATCTTCATGTTTGTCCGGGGGTTTCACCGTTTAGGAAAATGATCCACCTTAGGGGAATTCTCCTTTTCCGGTCCTCCGTCCAGAGAGTTGTCCTCGCCAACCAGCAAAAAGTGCGGTTCATTTGCCATGACAACACCCAAGCTTGCAGATGTTGAAGCCGCCCCAAAGGATTTTCAACTATTGCCCGAAGGGCATGCTACTCATGTGACACACTGGACATATCCTTGACATGTCTCCAAATGAATAACCCCCAGCCCAGTGGCTTCAAAGAAAACGAGTCAAATATCATCGAGCGTTAGGCTATTTTCAAAAAAGGGGACAAGGAAACCAAGACTCTTATGGGTCCAAGGAGACAGGAAACCCCCTGCGCAGCAGCATTCGCGCCAAAACGCGTGCCACAGGCCATCCAAGCCCGGCGCCGTCCAGAGCCAGTCCTGAGCTTTGTGGGACAGTCCACCCTGGTGTCACTGAACGTGTTCGTTGTTTAGCCATTTTTGGGTGTGCCGTTTTTGAGCGTGCCCTTTCTAGGTTACCAAGGAAGAACCAACCATTTAAGGAGCTTCCACCTTTAGGAAGAGAGCCGTTTTCGCAAGCCAAAGACTTCCATCGGAACTACGTCGCGTAAAGAATCAATGTTCCCGCAGGGTCTGGCTTTCCTCCAAAATGATGGTTCTCCTTTTGGTTTCCCTTCAAAGCCACAAAAAAGTACCCTTCAAAAACACACGCCCAGCAAGAACCCGCGTTCTGCCTGGTTTCCAGCGCGTCCCAACTCAGAGCTGGGGCCCCGGGCCAGTCCGCTCATAGCGCCGTCATGGTGCGGGAAGAACCCACCGGCTGAAGAGTTGCGAGAAGTGCACAATATGAAACTCGCGAAGGATCAAACTCTCTGTTCAAACAGGGCTTTGAAACCTGTGGAATCATCAAACAAGGCTTTGAAACCTGTAGAACCAAAGGCTAATGGAGAAACTGCAGATTTCAAAACGAAAGGCAAGCACTGACATGTGCGGATTCTTGGCTCCTTGACTGCAAGTGGCGGAAATCACCATGACCTCGCCAATGTTAGCTGCAACACCGTGGAATCTCCACATGAGCAGCACCCAAAATCCAATGGCTTTCGGTTGCACGGAAATTGTCAGGGTTTATTGTTGTGACCTTATTGTACTCTGCATTGAAGTGGGGTTTGGGCGCCGCTCATGTGCAAATACTAAGCCAGGCCATGCACCCACAGGCATTTCCCTCGCAAGCTCACTTCAACCTGCCCCGAACGGTGATACCCTACAACTGGGACGCGGCACTCACTCGGTCGCCCGGTGTCTGTTTTTGTCGCTCGCTGGGTGCGGCGGGGTCCCCGCCGAGACCCCCAAAGGCACGCCAAAACTCAGGTGTCCGCCTGGCACTTTTGCAGGCCTGGCCGAAAGAAAGGACCCGAAGTGATGGGAGCTTTGCTGTGACCTGCCTTCAACTGGGGTGGTTCACAAATTCGCTCCTTGAAAAGGTGGGTCAAAAATGGGGCTCTATGGGGGGGGTGGACTCTTCTGAACCGGCCAAAACTACCAAGGGTCGACAAGTGTCCAACCCCATCCACAAGCCCGTCCCTGACGTGAGCCCTTTCATAGGGAAACAGCCTACGCTGCGCCTGTAACACTCTTTGACCTTGCCTGGGTTCCACGACCTGCATCAACCTCACGACACGGCCAGCCTGCTGCAAGGGCCTAGGAGCCAACCAAGAAGTCGGCGGGCAACCGACATTGAGAGAGAGCAGGCTTGGGTCTGCGGATCTTTTCTGACAAGAAGACACCCCAAAATAAAGCACGTTCTAGGGGAAATTTTGGAAACCCTCTTACCAATATTGTCATGGGCAACCCGGAGGCGACTTCGTCAACCCTTTTGATTTCTCCCTGCAAACCGACTTTCCAAAGGGTACCTAGTTGAATTCACTCTCTCTCTCTCTCTCTCTCTGCGACATGGCGCCATGGCTCTCCTTTGCAGGCTTCCAGCTTCAGACCCCGGCGAATCCCCAACGAGCCCCAAAGCGGCCCAAAGCGGCGAATCCGTCCCAATGCGCTCCATGTGACGCGTTTCGACACCCGGGCTGTCCGGCGTCCCGCTTCAAGCCCCGGCCCACGAAGAGCAACTTGCTTCCAGCGGAGGACACCTTTGCCTTCCGGGCAAATGGGTGATCCCCTTTGCTATGGCTTTCAGTGGAAATCAAAGAAAGCCAACCTCCTGGAGGGGTCCCTAATGTTGAGAAACACCCAACTGGGTGTGGCTCAAAATTGAAGTGCCGGAAAAAGAAAAGACATGGAAAAAAGAAAGAAGAAAAAAAAGGAGAAAGAAACAAAACGCGGGAGATCTATATGTTCCATTTTGGGCCAATTGTCAGCCACACCAAAATGGACTCTAGGATTGGACACCGACACTTTAGGCACGTGGACCCCTGTATTTGAGGAGGAGTCTCAAGAGGGGCAAGAAACCCCTTTAGACCTCAACCTTACTTTACTTGCTGCTGCGAGAGATGCAGGGAATGAGGGAAGGGCCCTTTTCAACCATTCCCGATTTGCTTTAAGGGAATCCCCAGGTTCATTCCATTTCTCATTCCCTGCCTATCGTCTAGGTGGTTTCTCCGCTTTCCTCTGTTGCAACTTTTTCAGATGTCGCCTTCACGGCGGGCAGGGGTTGCCTGGAGGGCTCGGGGTTTTGGGGGGGGGTTGAGAAGGGACGATGACGGTGAACACGAGCCCCTTCTCCCAAACAAAATAGCTGCCGGGTTTCAAGAAACCCGCGTGGTTGGTTGGGAAAGGAGGCCATGGAACGAGGAGGACCCCAGAAACCAGCCGAAATCCCGGACATGTCGCCTCCTCGATCTCGAAGAGCTTCCCAACTCCTTGCAAGGCCTCAGAGCCAGCGGGTGCCGGAAGGCTGTTTCCTTTGTTGGTTTGTGGTCAAATACCCATCCCCTGCTCATTTACTTGTTCCCGAAAGCCAGAGCTAGTTTGGCAAGCGCAGGAATACGTAAGGTGATGAGCTGGGGTATTATTGAGGAGTTGGCACCTATCATACCGCAGGACATGTTCAGGAAGGTGAATGATTCTGTTTGTGGGGGACCCAAAATTAAAAGAAGAGGCAAAAGCAACTCAAAGCATGTTCACAACTTGTCACAGGTATGATGTCCTTGTGACAGAGCTTGCACACAAACTGAGAAAGAGAAAAAGAGCACACGTTGCCTTTGGGAGTAGGCCAGGCGCTGCTATCCGGGCATTGGACAAACACAGAGATCCACAATAATTTGTGAGTCCCAGGTGTGTTCGGGCAATAAACTGACTATCAACCGCGCTTGTCTGGTTTGCCCAGCCTGCTAAGTCTTTCTAATAAACTGCGTTTCAAGGTGACCTCACTCAAAAGTTCTTCAAAAAGAAAGGGGCCAATTTGGGGCCTTGCCCCTGGATTTCCCTCTTGGCCTCTTGGAAGGGGCGGCCGAAGACAAAGGCATCTGCAAGCCTGTCAGCCGACGGATTTGGAGCTCTTGGGCCCAGTCGTGCGCCACGGTTTCCCGCGGCTCCGCCTGGCTGGCAGCTTGAGAGAAGTTCTCAGACCTGGGTGTGAAATTCAACCCCCTCGTTGGTGGACCTGAATCCTATACATGATAGCCAGCAAAGGGTCGCCCAGTAACATTCACGCCCATGTGGATGTGTGCCTTTTTGGGGTTGGTATCCTTGTGAGTGAGGTTGCTTTGAGGGAACCGGGCGGGGGGGGGGGGAACCATCCATGTTGGGGCTACCCCTTGGCACAAACCCTTACGTATGCCACCGGAAGTGACAGGCCCGCCTCCTCCTCCGATGGGCCCCTGGCAAATTGTGTCCAAAAGGTGGCAAAGCACACAGCTAGGCTTTAGGCAAAGGACTTCTTTTGATGACCTTCGGAACTGCTGTAAAGGTGCAAACGCCGCCGCCCCAAAAAGGTCACAAAGCACGAGCCAGCGCCCCAAATTCGACAGCCTGGCCTGAATAGGCCCTTGCAGCGGTACACGAAGCCCGCAGATCCCTGCAGTTGCCAACTGGGAAGAGCACATGAATCCACTCTAAACTCTCCGGAGGAAGGCTGACTCCTTTTCCACGTCTGACTATTTGAATCGTCTCCTTTGCACCGCTCGCTTCTTTCTTGGCTCGAAACTAACTGGCCTCGAAATCCGCCGGCTGTCTTGACGCCGCTTCTTCACCTCCCTCCCCGCCTCCCAGAGAACATCGGCCATCCACGAGCGCACCTGGCACGGTGCTGCGCCGGTAAGAGTTACCTCAGCTTTCTCAGACTCTGGTCCAGAGGACCTGGAAGGTAAGTAACGGCGTGGTTGATTGCCTGGTTGGTGAATTCCAATGGTTCGAACACCTGCAAAATGGCTGGTGGCTATATATCCGCGTTGTCCGCCAAGGGGTCTGCAATTGAACTTCATACCCAAAATGCGAAAGGATGCCAAAAAAGCGAGGGACTCAAAAAAAATCGAGGTTGTCCCGGGGGTTTCCTTTGAAGCCGAGGTGAATAGAGTACCCTGAAAAACATCCCACCCCAAATACGATGAGTTTTGTCAAAAGAGCCCGCCTTGTCGGGATCATAGAGCGCGCCGTCCTGGCTGCACAAAGCCACAGCGAATCCATGCCACAGCGGTATTCTCGTCTTTTCTCGCGTGGCGAAATCGAGATACTCCTGTGATTCCGCGAATATTGTTCTTCCAATAGCAACCAACAAAGGCTTCCAATCGTCCGATGTTTAGGGCATCCACCAAACCTCGGTTTGCCTAAGGCGGGGACAACCTGTTGCGGGCCAAATGACCCTCTGAACCCAAAGGGTTGGAACCTGCCAGGCATAGGGGAACAAAGGGGAAGACTTGGGTTCTCTGGAGTCCCAGCTGGCTGTTTGGGGTCCCGAATCTCCTCTGTTCAGCCCAGTTGGCTTCCTGGGCCCATCTGAAAACAAAAGTATCCTGACCAAGAACTCGCATGGAACCCGCGTTGAGTGTCGAAGTTTTCCCAACAGGAGGTTCCACAACAGAGATTTTATCAGCTTCCTTGCCAATCGGTGGTTTCTCTACCAGAACCTCGGTGATTTCTCTCCCCAAGCCACCACCAAGTAAGAGTCACCTGAAAATGGTCGGCTTCCTTCCAATTGGTGGTTTCTCCACCAGAACCAGAGGCTTCCACCACCACCAATTGAGTCATAATCAAATCCCTGGTAGTAAAATGGTCGACCCAGAACCATGCTTCAAGAATTAAGAAGGCGGAGGTCCGCAGCTATGTGTGGCGTCCCTTACTAACCGGATCATCTACCCGAATCGGTTTCGATTTTGAGCACGTGGCTCAATTGAGAGTCACCCGAGTTCCCGGGCCTCGCCGTGCAGGAGCACGCTCTCAATGCCGTGGGCACGTGGAAGGATCCCCTGAAGGCCAGGTGGGGGGGGGGGGCTGGACCCCGGCTGGTGTGAGGTGGCTCCCTATGATAGCCGACCTTTTTGGGCACCCCACTCCAAAGCAAGCAAACAGGGAAGCAACTAAGCAACTGGAGGGCCTGGGCCTTCCTCAGAATGGTCTCGGATCCCCCTCTAAAGAGCACCTGGGGAATAGAACAACGGGAAACCGACACCGGTTCCCAATTTCAGAGCTGTCCTTAAGTTCGCCAAGGTTGGTCCAGCTTCTCGAAGTGTTCATGAGTTTGACTGCCTGGTTCCCTCGTGGCGTCCCTTCAAACCCAGACTAGCGAAGAAGGGAGGAAGCACCCAAATTAGCCACAGTCGATATATGTGACTAGCGAAAAGGATACGAGAAGAACAATGACTGCCCTCGTGTTTGCTGGACATTTAGCCAGTCACCCCGCGTCCCTTCCCCAAATGGACCAACCACTAATTACTGCAAATGTTGACCCTCACATGCTCAGCTTTTGTGGTTGACTGTGACTTCTTCTATGGCATGCACTTTCTCCTCTTTTGACCGAATCTCATAAATCAAAGCCTCGCTGGATGCATCGCCCCCCGCCCCTCCACCCGAAGCCCCGGCCAGCCTCGCAGTTGCAATGCCCATGCCCATCACCTGCGTCAAATCGAATCGACCTCTCCGAATGCGCGTGTTGTTTCCCATTCAGCTTCCTTGTGGTGTTGGCTCCTTTTTGTTCCTTTGGTTTCCTCTGAATCCCTTTCATTTTGCCTTGGTTTGCCTTGGTTTTGCCTTGGTTTGTCTTTCTTTGCCTTGGTTTGCCTTTGTTTGCTTTGGTTTGCCTTGGTTTGCCTTGGTTTGCCTTGGTTTGCCTTGGTTTGCCTTGGTTTGCCTTGCTCCGGTTTCCTTTGGCGTCTCTTGGTCTTTGGTTTCCTTTGGTTGCCTTTTGGCATCCTGTTTCCCTTTTCCTTTGGCTGCGCGTCTTACAACTGGAACACATCGACTCAGCCCCCGGCTGTGCGAATGGGCATGCTCATGGCCAGGCTCCTTCCGAACGCCACGTGCCAACCGATGGCGCACCGGGGAAACGGTGGGAGGCGCCGTCCTTTTTTTGGAGGGGAACCCCCCCTTTTTGGTTGGTGTCAAAGGGAAACAAAAGGAGACTAAGACTGTGTCACCTCCTGGCTCTGAGTCATAGGGTTCCGATGTGCAAAAAAGGATGTTGAGAATCAAGGGTTGTCATCACCGGCCGCCACTCTTGCTATCTGATGGAAGGAAGCCATGAGCGTGTGCAACCTGTCGATCCTTATTGGAGGCACAATGCTCATTCCGTCATGTGGAACCAAAAAAACAAGTCAAAAATTAAACCAGCCTGTTTCTCATGGGTTACTCAGTCACACCAGAGGGCCAAACCATGTGGAATCCATTTCGACTCCTTCTCAGCGAAATCCGAACAAGGGGGGCCCGGAAAACACTGGTTGGACTTCTCTTCAGTTCTCCCTGCAAACATCCAAAAGCAGCGCCCCAAGTCGTGGACCCGCATTTCTGCCGAGGTCTTCGTTTTGCGCTCCTGCCCATCCATGGCTGGGATCGCCAGGACAGCGGCTGCCAGACCTCAAAGCCCCCACGGGTCGAAAGGGCCAGGGCCTTACCATGACAACCCCACTCAACCAAATGGCTGTGGCTAAAAAAAAAACGGTACCAAAATGGAACCCTGGTATGTGGAAACATGGACCAAAACCTGCGTAACCCCTCCCGTTGAATTTTGAGCCCATACCCAAATGAGGGAAATCCTTAGAAAATCAGCCAACACGGGAATTGTGTGTGTCGCTTTTCAAGTGCGGGCACCGGAAGGAAACAACTTGGGCAGATCACCGCGCCCATTTGTATATTAGACACGGACCAGATGTTCCGAGCACCCCAGGAAGCTGAGGGTACCCTCTACTCGGCTTTCCGAATTCATCAAAGGGCCACTTGCACAGGGTCACCCTTTGGTCACCCGACCATGGTTTAACCATGCTTTACAACAAGGAGTGTCTCCAAAAAGAGACCCCAAAGAGACCCCGGATTTTTTTGTTGGTTGCCCTAGCAACCAGAAAATCCAAAGAGTCCCCAAGATCTTGGCCTCCGGCGATCCTTGTCGAAGGCCTGAAGGCCCAAGATCTCCCCCAGGGGCCTCACGCTCACGCCGGAGTCCAGCGGATCTTTTTCTTCGAGTCCTGAAAATCCAAAGGGACCAAACTCCAAATGGTCCGCTTTCATGGCGTCCTTTTTGAAGCAGTCAAAAGCAGGTCCCTAGTTTTGGCCACCCACAGATTCGTCCGCCCGCGACCCAGCGAGAGCCGAGCGCCAGGCACTTCCGCAAACCGGCTTTCCAGCATCCTGACAGCGAGCGAGCGGTGCGTGGGAGCGACCCAAGGGACCAAAAATGCGTGACGACACCCATGGGGCGATGTTCAGGCTAAATGTCGGTGGCCATGTCCAAACTTTCAGTCCCCTCTTGCGTCCCGACCCCGAGATAAAGGAAGGGCCAAATTGCCCCATCTCCAGATGGCCAGATGGCACGAGCGCCTGTTGAAATGAGCCCCAAGGTCACCCCACAACCGGCCAGCAACGATTCCAACAAGACACTGAAAACGGAGAATGTAGAAACATGAAGAACCACCACGAAAGCAGAGATCATTGCAGAAAGGACACAAACAGCGCAACTGAACAAACGAGCATGTCAAGTAGGGAGTTGGGGAAAAGGAGAGAGAGTGAGAATGAAGAAAGAAAGAAAGAAAGAAAGAAAGAAAGAAGGAAAGGAAGGAAAGGAAGGAAGGAGGGAGGGAGGGAGGGAGGCAAGCAAGCAAGCAAGCACGAAAGCCAGCAAGAAAGAAAGAAAGAAAGAAAAAGGAAAGAAAGAACGCAACCAAGAAAGCACGAAAGCAAGAAAGCAAGAAATCAAGAAAGACATGACCCAACATAATGCAAGAAAGTCGCAAAGCAAGGAAGCACAAAAGAACGTCAAAACACGAAAGCAAGAAAACAAGAAAGCGCGCAAGCAAGAATCCAGTCCGAAAGCCGATCGTAAAGAGACCTTGGGTTTGGAGCGCCGACCATGTCCAGGGGGCAGGTCTGGCCTCAGCATTTACCAAAAGAAATCGAATCGCCGTAATTTAGAAAAAGCGCTTCGCTCGATGCTGGTCATCCCGTATCAAAATTGATTCAGCGCCCTCTGGTTGATATGCTTTTACATGGGGATGCATATATTGATGGTTCCCCAGTACAAATCCTAGTCCTCTTTGGTTCAGGACTCTGCTTCCCCAAAACAGAGGCCTGCTTTTCGATGGTCTCTTGAGCGAACCAAAAGCCAGCCAGCCTCACTATCTGCGGTCTCCAATCAAACAAAACCTCCTAGGCTGGAATTAGGACCCCAGCAAAAACTTATCTTTTTTGCATGGTTAGTGGAAAACAAAAGGAACCCAAAAAAGAAAAAAAGAAAAACGGGAGCTAATTCTGGGGAAGAAACACGAGGACCTCTGCCCAAAAACCGCTCAGCCGATGACTTCCCCAGCCCCGGCCTCGCCGTCGGGTTAATCTCCCGCAGCACCGCGCACGCACGGCTCCGCCGGTCCTGCGCCGCCCTTGGGGTGTTCCAAGAAATTCCGACCCCTCCCCACTGCCCTGATGGAGGAAACATCCACCCCTGGAAGTCTGCGTCTCATAGCGCGATCGAAATTATATCGAGTGCCAAACCTGCTGATGTGATGGTAATCATTGCCGCGGCATTGCCCCACTGTGAAGAAGTTTCCACCAAAGAGAAACTAAATTATAACTGGACCAACAGGTGATAGTTAAACCGCAAAAAGAAGGAAATGTAAGGACCCCTGTTTTAAGGGTCCTCTAAACCTGGCTGTCGAAGGTAGAGCCGCGCAAGCCGAGCAAACCAAGGTGCCAAAATCATGAGGTGCTGAAGAACAAAGGGTATCATTGGAGACACTGGATATCTTCCTGGGTTCAGAAGAACGTCCAACACCAAATGCTTCCTCATATCCTCTCCGTCGAGTTCCAGAGAACGAACCCGTGAATGGCCCACGCTTGGCACGGCTCGGCTACGCATGGCGCCTCTGAGACAAGGTCCACCTTGTTGAGGATCAGGACATCCGCGCATGCCACCTGCCAGAAACGCATGCAGCCCAAATAAAATTGGCTCGCTGGACACGAAGCACAAAGGAGACACATGCGGCTCCGGGTTTTCCCTCTTTCAACATTTCCAAGATTTTCCAAGCATAGCTCCATGTAGTCTGCCCTAAACTGACCGATTCAAAGGACACCAGGTGCGTGTGTGACATGCTGAGCCCAAGGTCAAAGAACAACACAGGCGCGGCATAGCCGATGGCTCGTTCCGCAGCCGTTCCCCATCCGTATGAGTGTCTCATTGCCCGGTCGGTTGTTTAAAGATGGACTTCTCACAGCTTCATACAGCGAGCGGTTTGGTGTAGGCTTGTTTGAACTGAAGGCCGACACAAACATTTGAGAGGTAGCAAAGCAAGTCGGAGGTCGTGCCGAGTGTTGGCTGTTTCAAGCTGGATGCCCAACCCATAATGTTGACCCGGGATTCATACACCTGTCCCCATAATTAGGGGGTGTTCCCTCCAAAAGTGGTCCGATTCCCCACTGAAAGGGGACACCCCCCGATCAAAATCAACCAGGGCACATTTTAGCGCACCATGCCAGCGCCTGCGCGGTCCCCGGCCTGCTTCAGGGCTTCCGCCTCCAGCCCCAGGGCCTTCCCCTTCTCCGCCTCCGGCTCCGCCTGCAAGCGAGCGGCCGGGAGGCAGCAGTCTCACATGCTGGAAGCGAGGAGGGCGGCATCCACGTGCATGTGCGTAACGTATGTTGTATGTGTGTAACGTCTACATGTATGCATATACTTTTATGTATATATAATAATAATAATAATAATAATAATAATAATAATAATAATAATAATAATAATAATAATAATAATAATAATAATAATAATAATAATAATAATAATAATAATAATAATAATAATAATAATAATAATAATAATAATAATAGTAATAATAATAATAATAATAATAATAATAATAATAATAAATAATAATAATAATAATAATAACAATAAAAATAATAATAATAATAATAATAAATAAATAATAAATAATAAATAATTAATAATTAATAATTAATAATCAATAATTAATGATTATTAATAATTAATAATTATTAATAATTAATAATAATTAATAATAATAATAATAATAGTAATAATAATAAAAATAAATAATAAATAATAAATATTAAAAAATAATAATAATAATCATCATCATCAGCATAATAATAATAGCATGCACTCTACACAAAATCCTCATGACGCACCGCAACAGGTCGCTATTCATTCCATGTCATTGTGGGCCGCTATGTGCTGCACCGGCTTGCAGTTTGCCATTTGGACGCAGATGCCCATTTCTGCTGCTCCCCACGTACATGGCATCCATGTCCTCTCTTTGCTCCGCCCTCTCCGCTTTCCCATTGCGGGACCAGGGGAACCATGATGCTGCTTCGCAAGGACCGCAAGGGGTGGTGAAATAAGACCTTGCAAGGCCTCGAGATGCTGGTGATGCTGGGGCACGCGGACAGTTTCCCTCTACTGGTGCAAAATGTTCAGCCTGAGCTTCAACAGCGTTGATGATGCAAAGCCCAGGTACATGCGCCGCTCGCGACACTGCACGAATTGGCCGCAATTCAGAGCCTCCCAACGCCGCCTCCTGAGGTGCCATACATCAATCCTGATTCAACCCTCCAGATCTTGTACACTGAAGGGACATGTCGACTGCTGGTTGAAGCTTGTTGCGTTGAGGGTTCAAGTACCTAGAATGCCGAATATGTTTTAAACAAATGTGGACTGTGAAATCCTAAAGAGAAGCATATATTTATAGGAGACCCTTTGGTGGACATCTTTTAGGCGGAGACCTGCCACTTGTGAGGTGAATCTTAAAATTCATAGCCATATGCAAGATTCTTGGCAGCGGCTTCGTCCGTTCGGATTTATTCGGGGGGGCGTTATGTAAAAGTCGATGCGTGGCACTATTGGGCAGGAAGCACCCGAAATGAGGATTGTCAGAAACCCCTTCATGACTCGTTGTAGCTCGTTGTGTGTTTGCGAGGGATGCCTGCTGTTCTTTGGGGCATATCTCCATGAGAAAAACTCCCCGAACACATTGCTTGCCTCGCTCTTTCCCAGGTAGGAGAAGACGTGATAGGCGTCCACCAGCGCAAGGACACCATCCAGGTAAACCCTACCTCAGCTGTTTGCATTTTCATGGCCTTCTGGAGGTCCAAACCAACCCCTAAAAATGGTCCAACTATCCTTTTCGGCTGTCCTCATGGGCCCAAAAACGAGGCCCCAAATCACCCTCAACACAGACACCAGGCGAGGAGATCGTGGGCGACTGCCATTGGGGCCCGCACTGCCGAGGCCGTCGTCTACCCAGAACACCTCCAGGACTACTCCGCTGCAACTCTACATAGAGCCCAGAAAACTCTTGCAATTGTAAAGAAACTCATCTTATTCCATATTTTTCCCGGGGAGGCGTGCAAGTAGACATGCGTCAAAACAAGTTGGATACCTTGGAGACAATTTTGCTTCATAGGAAGCACAGGCCCATTGGCTTTTGGTTCGAGCAAGATTGGCGACCATGTTGGATAGGCCATTCATGGCGTTGCTTATGTGGTCCCAAAGGGGGCAACATGGAATGCTATGAGTGCAGCCTTGTTCACGTGCAGAACGGAAAACAATCTGAGTGCATCTTTAATTCTGTCAGCAGCAGCAAGTCTGTGCAATGCCTCATGAAAGCGAAATGCGAAACTTGAAGAAAGAATGGAACTATCTTTTGCAGCCCATAATCTCCGAAGACATACCAACCAAAAACAATAGGTCGTTTGAATGTGAGTGGCAGTCAAGAGTCCAGTTCGTTCCGATTCTCTTCGTAGGATCCGCTCTTTTAAAAACCGAAGCACATTTTAGGGGGGTTCCCCAATCTTGAGACAAACCCGCACACGTGGCCGGCACTTCCAGGCCTCACACACAGATTCCGGATCGGCGATGCCCGTTGCCTGCACAGGTCGACTCGAGCCCTGCCCAGGTTGAAGCGGCCCCAACTCTGACGTGGCCCAGTCATTTACTTTGCCATGGGCCCAGTCATTTACGTTGCCACGGTTTATCTTGGAATCTTGCAATGGATGGCTCAAACATATCGGCCACTCTCAAAATTTGGAGAAGCTTCAGGAGAGGGGGAAGCTAGATTTCTGCCCCTAGTTGTACTTAGAGTCACTGAGGTCTCCAACCCCAAACGCATCATCTACTGGGCATTTTGCCCAACCATGGGGTACTGCACTTGCGTACTTAGTGAATTTCCCATGAGAGAGAATCTCCGCCGCCCCACCCAACCTGTTTCAGGTGGTTGATATGTAGCAGATTCGGGGGTGGGGGGATTTCTCAAAAACCGGTGGGATCCAGTTTGAGAAACTGCGATATTTGGGTGTGCGCCTAGCAAATCATTCGGAAGGTTGGTTTCAAGGGAGACCAAAAGAAAAGCCACTCCTTTTCAAAGTTCCCCTATTTGGGGAACCCCCCTAGGGCCTAGGTGCCAGCACCACAGGCCTCCACCAACACATAGTCGAAGCGGTCCTTCTGCTCCAGCAGGACGTCGAGCATTCCGATCAGGCCATCCTGATCCCATCCCAAGCTGTCGAGTCCCAGCAACGTCAGCCAGCGTCAGCTGTTTTTTGTGCAATTTGGAGAACTGTAACTTTTTTTTTGTCCCATTCCATGACTGCCTTTGCATTTTCCTATCACATGTCCAATGGACGTGTTGTTCGTGTCACGTGCTTGTCCTGCAAATACTCAGCCACTCACATCATATTCCTGGAGAATCTGTCAAAGATGTGTCTTGCTGTGCTTTCTCGGGGGCGCCGGAAAGCACTCCTGACCACAGCAACATCGAGACGGGCGCTACAAACACCCTACCCGCTTTCCAGCATGCCGCTGGTTGGTCATCAATCTAGCTTCTAGTCCAGAAGTGCAAGGACGCACTGATTGGTAGCGATTCTCTTACCAGGCGAAAGGACGATTCAGTCAGGAGTTGCCCTAACCCCGTTCCCAGCTGTCCCTCAGCGAGCAAATGCAACTCCGAACCAGGCCTGGCAAATGACAAGTCCATCCGCAGTTGCTTCTCACCGAGCATGTCAGGGTTTCCACTGGAAACTTGAACCCCCATGGGCAGAATCCTAAGGCCGTTTCAAAAGTGAAATCAAGGGCCACATAAACACTGCCAAGCAGTCTCCTTCGCAGAGCAACAAAGGCAGCCATTCGGAAGCTCGTAGACGTCCTTTCCGCGCTGTTCTGGCTGAGAAACAAACAGGGTTGGTTAAAACAAGGGCTTACAAAATCAGAAAGGTTCCGGGGTGCAATAAAACCACACTAAGGCATGATCATAAGAGAATAATGTTACTTGTTCAGCCTCTTGTATCATGTTGTGTGCATATTATGTAAACAATTCCCTTAAGAAATAAGTTAAGGGCAGGCATGTCTGGCCAGTCAGACTGGCTTCAGCAATTTCATCGGCGGTTTGCTAGCTTTCTCCACGTGATTCCCCAAATGTGAAGCTACAAACCCTTATACATTCCCCCCATTGCTCAGTTGGGTCTGTCACTTTGAGACAACCGCCCAAATGGCCTCTTTGCATCATAATATCACGAAACCTGTTGCCAGATGCTGACAAAGGGCCAGCCGCATGAAAAACTGCGCCAATTTCTCGGGGTCCCCATGCACGCAGGCACGCGCTCTTCTACGCTGATGTCCAACTTTGGAGATCCCTTTCCTCCTCCCTCTTTGCGCCAAGAAAACAGCCACTGTTGCAGTCCCCCCCCCCCATTTTAGGGCAAAGTGGGCGGAAAACAAGCAGCAACTTGGCTAGAAGGAAAACAAACGCCAAGCCCAAGCAGCAAAACTCGGGCCTGTCCTTTATGGTGTCGCCCTTGGCGTCGGTGAACAATGGCGCCTGCCGCCAGGAGCGGTCAACTCGGGCGTGCAAGCCTTCATTGCCAGCCTAGATTGGTCGCTAGCTTAGAAACGCATCTTCGTTTCAGGCCAGGCTTCGAATCCAAGTCTGGGACTTCGCAAGTCCCCCACGCCCCTCCCAAAGGACCCATGCCACCTTTGACCAAACCCATCTTGCTGGTGCCATAGGCAGGGAATAGAGGGAATGAACCTGGTTCCCTTAAAGGACATCATCCGTTATCTCGTTCCATTTCTCATTCCCCGCCGATTTCGCAGCAAACTACAGGGCTATGTCCGCCAAAGCGCTGGGGGGCAAACAACGAAGCTGGCTCCCGCCTCCATGCCCATCTCCTCCGAAAACCTCCGAACTTCCGGAGGTTTTTGGTCTCTTGGTGTCCCACTGGCCACTAGTTTTTGGTCGTTTTTGGTGTCCCACCGGGACTGTGTCAGACTAAACGCTTGGAGTTGGACCTTCCCCATAAAAGGATGCCTTGTGCGTGGTGTGTGTCATAAAATAGGGACTTGGCAATTTGGTTTCCCTTAAGGAAAGGGTGCCTCGAGAGATACGCCCAACTGGTATGTGTTTGTCTTGCACATCTGAGACTGCGACTCATTTTGGATCACCGCCACCCGGTATCCATGAGGCTTCTCCAGTATGTACCTCGCATGCGGATCCCCCCCCCACGTTTTGGGGTGAAGAGAAACCTTTTGAAGGAAACCCAGCGTCTCAAGGGACCATGGCCTTCAATTCCTTGCAGGCTAAAACCAATTGATCTTAACCGGGCAAGAGGACCGAGATGGGATCGTTCATTCTGTGCTGCAACAATCCCAACAACTCTCCAGCAATAACCCTAGATAACTGGTTGACTCATAGAGCAGTGACCCACTTCAGAGACTCGATTTGTCACTGTTTCGGGGACACACTTGCCAGAAGTAACTTACAAGGTTGATTAACCCGGGTTGTAACATTCATTGCTGCGTGAAATTCACTGGGTGTCTCGAGAATTTAGCAAACAATAAAAGGAGGACCTGTTCCCTTTGGGTTCCTTTGGGGAAGATTGAAAAAACGAGGCCATATTGCTCCCAAATACTGGGAACACGGCCTCAGCAGGGTGGTCTTCCCCGCGCCGAGGACGCCCGTGAGCACGGTGACGGGAATGCGGACCTGGCAAAACCAAACGAACGAGCGAGCGAGTGAAACGCCCCTCTCAGCAGGGGCATCCACCACTGCCAACTCCCTTGCGGGTCTTGGTGTGTTTTCGGTTTGTCGCTTGCATGGCTGGCCCAACTGGCAAGTTACGCAGTGTTCAGCGAAGGCTGGGTCAGGCCTCGCCATCGCCTTCGCCTCGGCCCACCAGAGAATCTTTCAATCTTCAACTGGCGCATATACGTATTACATTATATTTATACATGTATATATATATATATGAACATACGTGTGTAAATACATGTATACTGTCATACTCAAACATAGAGACAAAGATCTGACAAAGAGAGTGGTAGTTTGATTAGAATATAAAAATAACGAGAGACAGGATCATCTACAGAACATATTGAGCATATAGAGAGACGAAGACATCTACGTACATGTGCATGATGGCTGTGAAAGAGCATATTCATTGATTGCAACACCTCGTCTGTTGGTGCGGACGTGTATATAAATGTTTGCATCAGAGGAGAGCTCTTGCATTAAAAGTTGACTACTCGCATGAGTTTCTACAGTATAAGAACCAAACATGCTGTACTTGCAGAACCAGTTTGTGGAACTCTGGGTAATGTTGCTTCGGTTTTCATGAACATGTTCATCAAAGAACGGTTGGCTTACTGTTCCCCATTTTGCACTCACCAACATGCCAGCGTGTTGTTGCGTTTTAAATGCCGTATCCCAACTGAGTAAAACAACCTAAAATTGGAAGGTACAACTATGGTCATACCAACTGACAGTTTGTGGGTGCTATCGCTCTTTAGATTGTACGTTGGGATATTTGGTTTGTCCACGCTGGTTCTATCTGCTCCTTCTGTAACAGAATCTCCTCATGCTGCTTAAAAGCTTGCTGAGTATTTGAAACTCGTCTTAACGTAATACTGCCTGCGAAGCTAACAAAAGTTTATACCGCTTAAAGCATATCGTCATGTATTCCAAAGAATTGTTTAAGGATGATGTCATACCATAAACTGCAAAGATATGTTTAGAACTAGCTGCATGAGGTAAAGCCAAGCAGGCCATGCAACGCTATTACAAGCACATATTGATGTTCTAGTTTTAGAAGGTGCATGAACTTCCAATCATACTGCAATGTGTTGCTGGAATATTTGCAAACAATGTGATACTGAGCCCAATTGCAAATGGTACAAAAACAGCACTCCTTACGACCTGCAAACCGGAAAAGAAAAGAAACAAAATTCATCCGGAAGACACACAAAATTGTATCCGTTTCACTTGGAACCCATTGGCGGACATCATTCACATGGGGCTTGCGCGCACCTTTGTTTCCTGCCGTCTCTCCCAAAATGGGCTGCATGCCGCGTCCGCCCGGTCGCCCCAAAAACACGCGAGGGAGCCATCCGTTGGTGTCCGACGATCCAAGATCACCCTGCAAACAAAACCGCCTGGAAACATCACGACCAAAAATGGTCAACCTAGGAAACTATTGACTTAAAGCACTGGTGGCAAAATGAATGGGTGACTTTGGGAAGGCTTGAAGTGTCACAGTGTCTGCCGACATCTGGGACACTACACGAAACGGTCGGCCCGCGCTCTCGGGGCCCGCGCTCGGAGTGTCCATCCGGACCCATGGAGCAACCAATCCAATGGCAGATCAACGGGCAAATTGTGTGGCCCTTGTGCTTGTGTGTGTGTGTGTGATAGAGCGTATGATAGTCATAGTGATAGTGTGTGTGTGTGTCTATCGAGCTTTTCTGTACGAGCGTGCAGTAAATTATGACACCTTATGTTTGTGTGAAAGAGAACGAGAGAGTATCTATGGGTGTGTGTGTGTGAGAGAGAGTGTCCGCATAGCTCAAGTTGTAAGTGTGAGAGTATCTATGGGTGTGATCTCGGATTGGGTGTTTGTGTGTGTGTGGGGTCGCATCTGGTTGATGCGCTAAGCTGAGTGAGGGAGGTTTCAATGGCAAAAAGCGGCTCGAGCTAAGGACTCCTGCTTCTTGCCCCACTTGTTCTTTGACTTGAGCCATGGCCGCTATTCTTTGTCCCACACATCAGTGGTGTGGCAACCCCAAATTGTAATGGCATTTGTTTTGTTCCGCGAGTATTGGGCAAACGCATTCAGTGCGCGCCGCAACTCTCGAGCAACTCTCGGGTTTGGCCTGCTTGATCCGTTGGCTCCCGAGATCCAACCAAAAAAAAAAACGTGTTTTGGCAGTGGCGCGCTTCCTTCTGGTCCCTTTGACTCCCTTTGGTTTCCCTTTGGCCTCCCCTAAGACATCCACAAAAAAACCCACCCGAAAGTCTCCCATCGCTGCCTCGTGGCGTAGCTCACCGAGTGGAGCTTCATGTCCTGAGGAAGCGCGCTTGGCCGAGACGGAGGTTCTACCAAGGCCAAGAAGGCTCCCTCCCCGTGGTTCAGGGCTCCTTATGCCTTTCTTATGCCAAAAGTATTAAGGTTTATATATAGGCCATTGCTGGTCCCCTCCCCACTATATGCATTCTCCTTATGAAAAGTACTTCCCATTTGTTTTAGGTTCGTATGGCCAAACTATCTAACGAACGCCGAGTTGAGAACCAGGTAGAACCGGTGGGGTGAAGATCCGAAGTCGCTGTCCGTCAGGATCTTCACAAACTCCTGGCAAGGTGGGGGGTCGGGTCATTCACCACTTGGTCACAAAAAACCACTTGGTCACAAAAAGGCAGCATGTATCGCTTTGCACAAATCTGCAAACAAAAACTGTGTGAGATCATTCACACACCTCTCCTCGCGGGTTCAAGCACACACCTTCAATCAAGCATGTGAACACAAACAGGCATCTATACCACTTCGCACCACTAGATGGCAGCAAAGTGTCCGTCATGACATCATTTCACGGGGCACATTTGGACCGACAGCTGGTCCCCCACAACGGGATTCGGTGTGGCACAACCAAAGGCATCCCTCCTGGAATTCCAGGTTCTGCGAGCCATCGCTGTCCTCAGACCGGCAAACAAAGTGGAAGCCGCCTGGCCATTGGTGGGCCTGGAAACCTATAGCAAGATGCAGCCAGGTAAGGAGCACTAGCTGCCCACGAGCAACTATGCCTGGCTGTGGGGTTGGCTCAAGCCCGGTAGACGTCGGCCATTCCCAACCGAACCCCCTCGGTCCCAACATCTTCGAGCAACAACCTGGAAACCGTCACGGCCCGGTCGATCATGGTGGCGGCCTTTTGCTTGAGCGTATCCTATGTGGCGTTGATACAGGTGGAAACCAAAAAAGAAACAGAAATCCTTTGGGATTCCCACCATTATATCTAAATCCTGAGGGAAGCCCCCCGACCGCCCCTCCCTGCGAACTCAGCCCCGGACATGGTTGCAAGAGGAAATTGAACTTCCGTGTACCCTCCCACGGCTATTGGGAGAGAGCGTTTAAAGACTCTTTGTCAAGTTCCATGCAAGCGGATTACGCCAGCGCAGCCAGGCATCCATATCACTGATCAGCTGGTAAATCGTGGTGTTGTCTGCCTGGCCACGCGCTTGCTTCACTCACAAGCGAGTCGCTTGAGTTGCTAGAACTCTCGCCTCAAAGCCCAACGCCTGCATCTGCATGCGGATCTCCTGGCATCGGGGTTGCCCCCAGAGTCACTGGGACACGAAGGGACATACTGCCACTTGTGGGAGCTACTCGAAGAATCGTTCCCCTTTCCAGATTCACAACACTCCATCCAGGTATTGCAGGCTTGGAGCAAGATTCGTGCTCCATGTGGACTGGCAACATTTAAGTTTTCCTTCTCCCAGCACTATCAGAGCGACGCAGCCAAGAACCGCGCCAAACCTCTTTTCCTCCTTTCGTCTCCTCCCTGCGGAACGAAACCAGTGAACTTCCGCCAGCTCCAAGCCGCCCCGCGGGCACATCGTCTCCTCTCCGGAGGTTTCGTCGCCCACTCGCGCGCTTACTCAGCGCACGCCCGGGTGCCTTGAGTCCAGGCTGCGAGCTTCAGACCGCTTCCTGGTGCTCATCGCCGCAGGGCCGCGTAGATATCTTCCAGCCTGCGCCGCAGCCGCTTTCCGGCAAAGAACGAAAGGCTTGCATCATGGCGGCCTTATCAGAGAAATACTGGTTGTGAGCAGTCCCTGTTAGAGGGTGAGGTAGATCTCATGATCTTATGCGGCCAAAAAAGAAGAAACTCCTTTGCCCCAAACAAGACCTCTGCGCCTGCACCCAGCACACAATCTGTGGACCCTGAACGTTCTGAACAGCACAGGAAGCAGCGTACAGCAAACTCAGCGCACGGGCTGGAGAACCTCAAAAGATTCCTCGCACGGCATTGCGGCATGCACGGTGACAGGCTGATTGAGGCAGGCAAGCTGCAAACTGCAAGGATCCGTTCCCCTTAAACCTGGACAACATTGCCAACACCTTCCAAAAATGAGAAACAAAAAAGGCCCGAACTCAAGAGGATTCTGCGACGACCCCAAACAACCAGCTCACCGACAAACCCGGCAACGGAAGGCCTGCGCTTCATGCGCGTCAGGAAATGTCGGCCGCCGCCGCCGTAGAGCCGGTCATGGGCCTGACGGGGGGAGGGATTCTCACTGCAAAGTGGGGCTTGGCCGGGTGTCCGCCGATTTGGACACTCCCATTTGACCAAAAACAAAAGTCATGTCGTGTCGGGATATCGGGATAACAAGTGAAAGGAAACACACCATCGGTCGGGGGGGTTACCCATTTTGAAAAAGAAATGAATCGGAAAGTGCCCTCTTGTAGGTTCAACGTGGTTGTTAGTAATGCCAACGACCATGCTTGCAAGTAAAATAGCGAACTGATTGATCCATGTGTGGATCCCCCATGCAAGGCCACTTGACGTCCGCTTCTATGCAACAAGGCAGGCCGCGGTGATCGACTAGGAAATAGCTAACTACTGGCAAGTCGCGACTCTCTTATGTTTGACACCTCTGTCGGCGGGTGGCCAAATGGAAACCAAAGGGTAAACAAATTCTTGGGACCCCGATGAATCCGCTTTCAGGTGCGCATGTCATTGCTTGATCCAAGCACGCGTCAGTCCTCCTCAGCGGAACGCATCGCCTGAGGCAGAGACACAGCAACACAAGTCCTTGCCAGGGACACACTGCTCCCTTTCATGTCTCACAGGTTTGTTGGGGGTCGACAACATGTTGGCCGTATTCGGGCGTGTCTTTTTGATGGTTCCTTGGTTCAAGGCAGATTTTGTGTGTTACCCTGAGACAAGCCATCTTCTAAAGGCGGACACGTGACGACACCAGACTTTGGCAACTTTGGCACGCCCTAAACCGTCAAAGTTCGGAGCGGACGCCTCCAAATACGCCAAGGGCAGGCTTCCTTTTGGTTCCCACAAAACAACCGCAAGCACATGCTTCGCAAAATTTGGATACGCCGCCAAACTATCTCAACCTTCTCCAACTAAAAGCATCCATCTTTCTTGTCCGGCTCCTTTCAACCTGAAACTTGCGCAAGATACGAAGTGAGAGGTCCCAAAAGTCGCCTTAGCCGCACCGAAGGGCCCAAGGCGCACCGTGCCTTCTTCAGCACCTCCTGATTCTGCGGGACATTCTTCGGGGCGGCCGAAAGCCTCCACCTCACGGACGGGCGTGAGGTCTCAAAGTTGGCATCTCGACCCCTTTGTAGAACACGCCCCCGAATGAATCCACTGATTCGGTTCATGAATCCAGCCGTCAATGGGGGTGAGAAAGGTGCTGCCAGCCTAGCGAGGCATTGCGCCAGCATCATCGCGTACTTCAGCTCGTACCTGGGTCGTTGCTCGGAAGCTCCCAGCCATGCCACCCCTCAGGTGAGCCCTCCCGAACAAAAGCATCTGGAGAACTCGGATAGACAAACCAATGGAAACCCATGACACATCTGAAAGGACTCATCCTAATAAGACGCCCCGCAACTGAGCTTCTACGTCTTCATGGCATACTGGTTTCCGGGACTGCGAACGCTACGACGGCTAGCACAAAGAATGGCAAGGCCTGCAAAGCGATCCGCCACCAAAATGTGTACTCTTCATTTAAAATGGTATCCATAAAGGGGCCGTCTCTGTGGTGCAAGCAGACCAGGACTGACCTTGTTATGCAATATCAACTCCAAGCGCCCGAAGAAAAATAAATACACCAGCATAGACCCCAAATAGCGAAAAACACGAACCTGCACCCCCACACTGCGTGCCTGGCCCTGCCCGAACAGCAGCCCAAACAGCACCCTGTCAATCTCAAGAAAAAAAGAAGGAGAAAAAAAACGCCCCTGCTGTGACCAGCACCTCAAGCAGCATCCCAAACCGCACCCAACACAGCACCGGCCTGCCAAACTACATGCCCCCTCGCACCCGACCGCCAATCTTGCAGCAATGTGCCAGCGCCTCAAACAGCACCTGAACCAGCACCCCAAACTGCATGCCTCCTAGCACCCGGCCATCAATATCGCAAATCACTTCCCCTCTTTATTGGAAGCTAGAACGCCATAGCCTTCAGCTATCTGTGAAAAAACAAGCCTCACCCCAAGCCATCCGACATCCCCCCCCCCCAAGCCAAGGCATCCCCCTCCCCACCCACCCCACATCCCAAGGCATCCCCCCCATCCCCCCGAGGCACGGGTCTGCAGCTGGGCTGCCGGGCTCTGAGCTGGGCGCAGCCAACCTCGCCAGCGCCAGGCACCGCTCAAAAGCCTCGACCTCGGTGCCCCTGGAAGACACGTGGGTATGGGTCAATACCAATGCCTTCATTTTGGTGCGGATGAACAGGTACCACCTATGTTGATGTTCACCAGGGGTACAGGGTTTTGACCCACAGCCATGTGTTCCTCCTCTGAACCCTTCGAGCATTGGCTCAACGACCAGTTGCTTGTCTTTGCTCGCCTCACAGGTGAAATATACAACATACACACAGGTTGATACACGGCCATAGGTATGAACATCCCAATCCCCACTATAGACAAAAATGGGTGGAGGGCACCTGCCCCGAAATAGGATCCCATTGGTTTTGACCCACAGCCACATGAGGAATCTTCGAGCTAAACGGTTCTGATTCGATGGAAAGCTCCCCTCTTCTGGGTTTGGGTTCCTTCCGCCAAGTCAGGGAATACCAAATGCCTACCCCCCCCCCCATTCCTGAACGAAAGCTTTGACATCATCCAAGCGGATGGATCCTTACCGGAGGGTAGACCCGCATAGGTAGCTTTCAAAGCGACCCCTGATACCCTAGGCCAGAGACTCGTCTGGGAACTTTTCCAGTGAGCTTGCTTCGGACCATCTCCAGTGCCCAAAATCCATGTTGGTTCTGCCAACATGGCTACAAAGACTGCTATGATTATCAAACCTAGTAGTAGCACCGCCCCCTGAAGTGGCCAATTGGAATTGTTCTTGCTCGCTCAAGCGTGCTTCAAACACAGCAAAAACGCCAAGCCATTGGCCTTCGATAAGGCCATTGAAAGTGGACTGCCTTGCATGCAGCGTGGTGGTCGCACCGCGTGGAACTTCCCTTGCCCGACAAGTGTTGAGTCCAAGGGGAAGATTGGAAGCCTTGGTTTGAGGAAAAATGGGCCCTTGGAAGGATCCACCGGCTCGACGCAAGCCTCGTGCAGACCCGTTCTACAAATGCCACATACCCGTGCGCTTGAGAGTGGCCTTTGATTGCCAGCTACCCACTGCGTAGGAAAACGTAGGTGCCTCTATCATGATTGTCCTTGCATCCACAAGGTGGGGCCCATAAACTGGGCCTCCGCGCGGCTTCTGCGAAAAGGCCAACCTCTTGGGCTGCCTGCGAGCCAGTGGTTGTGGCCATTGGATGCCATTCATACAAGGATTTATGCACGCCAAGCATAGGGTTGTTTGCCCATTGAAACTCATAGCCATATGTGTGAAAACTGGCGAAGGGCTCCATTTTCTAGTAAAGTACCTCCATGGCAGATTGCGGGAAACATCAACCAGCCTGGCAGCAATCACAAAAACGGAACCCTGGTACCAGCATCGAGCAATATATGGTTTGGGGTAGAGTTCTCAAGATGCGTGTTCCCAACGAACAGTCTCATGTTTCTCCGTGAAAATTCGGAGCGAGGTGCCCCCATGCTGTCTTCCTTGCAGCAGCAAATGCGATGACTCTGTGATCACAGCGATTTGTTCGCCTCCTGGCAGTTCTAAGAGATGTGGTGTGTTTGTGTGTGTGTGTGTGTGCGTGTCTGTGTGTGTGTCTGCCAACAACACCAAGACGTCAAAACAGAACCAGAACCTTGCCCTTTGTGCGATGGTCGGTTCCTCTCGGCTCGAATGCTCACCAAGGTCCCGGCCATCGCCAAGCCATGATCTCCCCACAGGAACTGTGACCTGCGCAGGTCTCGTTTTGAGACTGAGTACCGTCTCCCGTGGGCCCTCTCGGTCTGGTACAGACTATGAAATGTCTGCACAGCAAAGATAGATTTTGCTTTACCAATTCCAAGTCAAGGGCGTTCGTGATAATGAGCTTGTCTTCAAAAAAGCTTGCCACAGAATAGGCAGGTCGTTGAAAAAATACAATATAGAATCATCCATGAATTTCACTGATTTGTTCAACCCGTTGCATCTCAAAGAGGACAAAGATGCGTGCGGTATCCCCCTGAACTAAGGATAGGCGACCACTCTTCCCAACAATGATGGAGGGACACAAGGGTCTACCATCATCTTAAAACGGCCTCCTGTCACCTTCGATAGACAAAAGCACTTCAAGACGTCTGTCTTTCCGATGGAGAAGCTGTTGCCAGGTTCGTTCTATGAACGTGTCAGAAGGACCAATAATTTGTGGCCGCTTTCTGCCATAGCAGTCATGCCCTCCAAGTGCAAAGACTGGCCGAGAAATGTTCAGCTCAAAATGCTCTGTTGCGAAAGAATACCCAGGCTGCGGGAGCCGCCTTCAACCATGACCAATGCTTGCTCCGTTGCGCGTTGAACAGCGAGTAGCTTATGGTTGGTTTGTTTGTGGTCCTCTTGAGCCTTTGGTATTCCAATCCCTATCTGTTCCTTTCTGCAGGATGTCGAGGAAAACTGCGCTCCAAACTTCTGGATGGCCTCCACATCTGGCGGGAATCTGCAGGCAACGACTCAGCCGCATCATCAATGCGAGCCAGAGCCTCATGCAAGCATGGGTTGAGCGTCCAAACAGGTTTTCTGCTCGAACGTCAAAAACATCCGTTTGGTTGAATCATGAAATAGACCCTGGTCCATCTTGGTGTGTGGACATGATTTCCATGAGATTATATGGCCAACGGCCCTGTCAACGCTGGGCTTGGGGTCCAATTGTTCAACTACCCCATTTGCTCTGGTCATGGGGGAGAAGAAACCGGGGGAAGAGCGAAGAGCCCAACCAAGGTGACGGGATTCCAACTAGGCCCGGGCCGACCGCATCTTCTTGACCACCGCTGCCATGTCGGAGGGCCTCGCACCCATACCTGCGAGACGAGCGAGGCGCCCCGGTTTCCCTGCAGAATCTGCAGGGAAACCAAGCGAGATGAACCCAAACACAGGAAAGGCCTACCCAATAAAACACGAGGGATGGTATAGGCTGCCAAGAACGTGTGAGCTTTGGGTTGGGACGGTTGGGATCATAGGGGGTCCTTTACTGGACGAATTGGTTCCCCCGCTGGATGCCCAAAAACGCGCAAATCTCCTGCCTCGCGCCGCGGAGAAATGCTGCAGCTCCGACCTGGACAAACAATCCAGTACTATCCTTTGGAACTACCCCTGAAAAACAAAAGAAACGAGCAAGCAACACGTGTAGGAGTTTTGGGAGCCCGACCGATTGCAACAATTTCTCTCCCCGCCTAGAGGAAACTGACAAAAAATGCAAGCGACATGGTCATGGTTGTGTCTAAGGCAGCCAAAGGAGGTCGGATAAGGGCAGCTCTGTCCGGGAGCGAGGCTCCAAGTTGTCAGCCAGCCGCCCAGCCGCTTCTGCATGGGGCGCCTTGGCAACTTGAAGGACAAAGTCTTCCAAAACCTTTCTGCCAGCGTTTTCTTTGGGGAAGGAGGGTAGAACACGGCTCTCTGCCAATTGAACCGCGCCTCCAGGCTGCATCTGGTGCAAGTGCAGGAGAAGCCATAGCTGGCTTGCAGCCTGCGAAATCCAGGTGCGTCCACAGAAATACAGGACACCAAAACGCAACCTTTGCCGCAGATTCCACGTGCGTCCGGCGGAACGCACATAACTGTAATTAAATCTGAGCATCCATACTACCTACAAATCACCGATTGAACTTAGGAATTCCTAAGGAACAATCATTTTGGGTCAGCTCCTTGTCCCGGCCTAGGTGAGCCCGCTAAACCGTTTGTGCAGATTCCCCCAGCAGAGAAGTGGCACCCACCCACTTATTCCCAACTTTCTGCCTGCTCCTCCGCTCAAGGACGGTGTCGAACGGGTAGACCTTGCCACAACTGCCCACAGAAAAAGACGGGAAAAAAACATTGAAAAAGTGGGATAATATATTTGTTCTTTGTGGACATTGGGAAATGTGGGGAAAAGTCAGCCGCGAGTCTCCCATCTCTGCAACAGAGCACTGTGTTCGGGCGGCGGCGTAAGTGTGAAGCAGCTCCTGCGCAGCGTTGACTGCCACAAACACTTGGCTATGCAGCTATACATGTTTAATGGAGAACACCCTCATAAATAAACCCACCTGTAAATGTCCACCAAAGGGGTCTTGATGAAGATTCATATCAACTTCTTCCTCAGGCACCTTGACCCGGGGGCAAAATGGCAGTCTTTTTCAACTGAGTTGGGTCAAGCTCGCAATCGAAAGTGCGGTTCCCGCGATGGGGAATTTTCGCGCTGCACCCCGGGTTGTTTGGTGATTCATATTTAGTAAGTCTCCCATGTCCCGAGCCCCAAATGGAACGACGCACTCAGGATATGTTGCTCAAACCGCCATGCGGCTGTCGCTTTGCCTTGATGGCCCTAGACTTCCCCAATTCAACTGCGAGTGTTGCGAGCAGCTTTACTTGGCAAGATGTCGTTGTTACATTTGGCCATGGGGCAAAACCTATGGCTCCATTTTGGGGTGGATGAACATCCATTTGCCACCTATTTTGATGTTCACCAAAAGTACAGGGATTACAGGGCTTTGACCCACAGCCATTTCGGAGAACAAGTTTCCTTCGCTCGGCTTTCAATTCTCTGGCCCGGTGCCAAGCTGCCAGAGATGAATTTGCGGGCAAGAACGCATCTGAACCACACGGAGGGGAGTGATTAGGGTCCCCCCGGTTCCATTTACGATTCACAGGTCTAAAACGAACCAGAATCAGAATCGGAATCTTCCTCTGCCCTTCCGTTTCTGACCTAACGATGGATGGAACCCGCACAAGCCATTGAAGGTGAGCCCGATTCGAATTCTCCTCGTCCTTCTCGATGTCCACGGCAGCTCGCGCCACCAGCGCCACGGAGCCATCCTCCGCGCGCCGGATTTCCCGAGACGCGGTCGGTTCGGGCCGGGCCGGGCGGAGGGTTGAAGTGAATGTCGTGTAGAATGAAACAAACAACCAACCGAACAAACAAACAAACAAACAAACAAACAAACAGACAAACAGACAAACAGACAAACAGACAAACAGACAAACAAACAAGCAAACAAGCAAACACACAGACAAACAGACAAGAACCCGGGTGGACCAAGCACAAGTTGATTTCAAATGCCAAGGAATGAAGCAAGAGATGAATTGCCATGTGTCTTGCCAGGCTGCCCTTGAAAGCCTGAAGTGGAAACATGCAGTACTCCAATACCACACCACTGCCTTCCAGGCCTCCCAAATCCCCATCCCCCCCTTAGCTGTAGCGTATCGTGTGCCAAGGCAACAGGGGAACACACCGCACGAAATGTTGGGCAGCCGCACACATCACATAGCGCGAATTGGTTAACCTTCGTGGTTCAGGAAGGCTGCTTCCAAGGTAAAACGTGGTCACAAAGCGTCAACGCTCATTGTCCCAGGGAACTCGCAACCAACGTGTTCGCTTGCGTGTGCTGTGAGGCATACCCTTGTCAATCTTGGGACAGTCGACAATATTGCTTGCACGTCCTCGCACTTCCGGTCGAAGCAAAAAAGAATCACGAGCGCTGACACGACAATACTACGACTCCAACACATATGGATGTTCTGCGGCAAAATGCATTAATGGGAACCAAGAGGACACCACACCATTTGCTGTTTCCCAATTTGAGACAACCCTCAAACGCCTGGCAGGCATGCAGAAGGTCATGGGAGGAAAGCCATCGAAATCCAACGTCTGGTTTGTGCGCCCGTGATAAGTTGGTCTGAACAGGAACATGAGGTCGTATTGTTCACACCCGCCCTTTGAGTAGCGAGTTTGCTCGTGACATCACTTTTGGTGAGAGTGGACCCTGTGAGACTCCTGTCTGACGGTTGAATGAGGTGCTGACTCACATCGCCAGCGTCTGTGAGCCCTGTCCTTGTTGTTTGCATAGGTGATGACCACATTACCCAGGCAGGAGTGGTTGAACAAGGAGGCCACCAGCCACAGGCCCCCCACCGCCTGCGGAGAATGCAAGGAATATCAGACTTTAAGCCACGCTGTGTGGATGTTTGCTTCAGATGAGCCGTCAAAACCTGGTATCAAATGTAGAGAATCACACGCTCTCACATCCATCTATGGTCGGGGCAGTCCCCTACCAACCTTCCACCTGTTGAGTTTGGTGGGTCACGGTGCAGTGCACCTCGGTGTCTCTGAGCAGCAGCGTCCAGGGGTCCCAGTGCTCCGTCTTCCGGCTGTTGGCTTTCACGATGGCGCCGACGCGCTCGGTGACGGGGCCGAGATCTGAGGACTCGGAACCCCGCGCGCCGCACTTCAGGTGCCGCAGGTACTCGTTGAAGACGCTCCTTGGCAAGAGGTCGGTCGACTCGACGTCAATGAACCCGGGAACCAATGGCAAAGGGACCTTGACTAAACATGGGCCAAAATGGGAAAACCGAGATCAACATGTCAGAAAAGTGGGCTTTAGGCAGGTGGGAGTGTGGCGAATCTCGGCAAAGGCACTGCCGGAAGCCTTCATCCCGACCGCCTTCCCCTGGGTGCAAGCACCGAAACACCGCCTTCTCCAGCTGCGGCGTGGCCGCATCTCGGAGCTTCCGGCAGCAGGCGCTCACCAACTGGGCGCTCGCCTCAGGCCGGCGTGGCCGAAGTGGGCGACATGAAACGACGATCCTGTGCCGCAACTCGTAAAGCACGTGGCCATCCAACCACAAAGAGAGAATCAATGCATGCACCTTTCACCACATTACAAGTGGCCAACACCGAAATCAGCCGTACCACAACCTCCACAAACGTGAATTTCATGCCAACTGCCCAATTGCCCGACCAGCCCAGCCCAGACCAAACGCAGTCCATGACCTCCCGAACCCCCATGCGTCATTATACGTCCACCAAACATTGCCCCGTGTGAGAAGAGCCTTCGAAATGGCCCTTGAATGTTTGATCCTTCGGTTGGGCCGCCCCCTTGCTTAAGAATGCTAAAACAACCACGTTTCAAACAAGCTTCTTTTCGTTTACAGCAGACGGGGCTCTGTTTTTCTTGAATGAAATCCACTCACCCGTCCTAGTCCCTGCCCTTGGCTGGGTGGCCTCAACATACAACTTGTGTGGAGTTTTCCCCGTACTGCTTCAAATTTAACCCCTCCATAAAAATACGAAAGAAAGGACTCCAAAGTTGGCGGACACCGAAAGAAAGAACTCCAAAGTTGGTGGACACCGGATTCTGCTAATTCAAATGGCTGTGGGCCAAAATCCCGTACCCCCAGTGAACATGCCAATCCCCACTAACATAGGTTCTAAAATGGGTGCTGAATTCAGCTACCAACCAAACTGGGATCCCAAAACGGTTTTGACCACCACAGCCAAATGGGTACCCAACGAGCAACCCTGCCAAGAATGGAAACTAGGACTCCATCCTGCGGTTCTCTGATTTTGTTTGCGAGTTTTGACCCATACCTCAAAGCCATGGGCACGCCAAACCCTGCCCCCAGCCTCCGGCACCTCGGCCCCGCGCGGCCCCAGCGCCCAGGACCGCTCCAGGAGCAGCAGCTCCCCGCGGCGCAGGCGCCGCGCGGCCCGGAGGCCCAGGCCCGCGGAGGCGGCGCCGCGCAGCGCCACGGGGCCCAGGAAGCCGCCGGGATGGCCCTCCTGGCTGAGGGGTCTTAGGGTTTAGGGTTTGGAGCTAGGGCTGAGGGGTTCTGGAGGGCTCGAAAAAGCAAGTGAAAAATCCATGGCTGTGAAACAAAAACAGGGCTAAGGAGGAGAGAGAACCCCGAAAGCTCCGAAATCCACGAGGTTTGGGGCTAAGACTCACTTTTTCCGCGGGACTCCAAGAGCATTCACTCGTGCCATGAACTGCATGCAAAGGAAATTAGATGCTGCGAAGGACTGCTTGACACTTGCCCAAAGGACCCCAGAAACAGAAGGTTTGAACCTTGGCTGGACCAAATCAGGAACACCCAAAGGTCAAAAGGTCAGTTTTCGCTTTGGACAACTGAGAAGAAGAAGCCAGGCAGCAATATCCAGCCATGAGATCCCCGTCCTCATAGAAGCGCCCCCAGTCCGCGGGCGCGTCGCCCTGCTGCTCTGAGGCTCTCAGCGCCTCGAAAAGCGCCGCCACCCGGAAGTCGCGGCCGCCCCGCGAGGCGTTCGACGCCATGGGCCATCGGAAGCAAAGGATTTCGAGGGGATCTCACCCGAACAAAATATTTCAAATGATGTTGGGAGTTCACCCATCAATTCATTGCCTACAATCATCAGGCTGAGATACCACTACCAGCATTCATTTGCCTAGAACAATCATCCAACTGAACGGCTGAGATACTGCCGACAGCTCGGCCGCAACTTGTGCGACTATGATGAAAGAGTTCATCTGACAACTATTTTAGCGTGTGACTCTCACAGGCATGTCCCACATGCGCACAAAGCGCGTCAACTTGTATGCAAGTTTTAGACACGAACATGGATGAAAAGTGCACGAATGTAATGTCGTGCTTCTCGGTGGCCAAACTACAAGTGCAACCAATGATTCGACGGCAAAGCGACATGCTTGAGCCAGCACTCGCGACAAACCAACTCACATCCCTGATTTGCACCTTCTCATGGCCCTTTCGAGCAATAAAGCCAACAAGACCTTGGTACCTCAAACGAACCCTCTCCAAAACCCGAAGGTGTCCCATTGGAAGAGCCACTGCCTATCATTTTTCATAGCGTCTTTCACGGGATCTGTCCAAAAGCAAGTTGCCCACTGCCCCCCCCCCGCCATTGGGGTCACTTCCCCCTTCGAGTCACGGTCTTTGGCCCACTTGGCTCCGGCTCCGGCTCCTTGGGGTCGATGCTCCCGCTCCCATCCGCGTCCAGCAGGTCGAAGATCTCCTTCATCTCCTGGCAGGCAGACTCAAAACACGGCAACTCTTTACCCGCCCTTTCGCCGTCTTTCAAATAAGCACCTTTACAAGCTTTGATCTACAACTCTGTCAATACCCTTTCCCCGTGACCAGTTGAGTCACAATCAAAACCCGAGATAAAAATGGTCGACCCAGAACCATGTACAGAATTAAGAAGGCGGCCGAAGCTATTTATGGTTGGGGTTGCCCCACTCTAACCTTCACTCATCCGGGCTTTGATTTTTACTCACAGCTTAGACGGACTTTAACTTCGATTCACCACCTCTTTGTTTGACCCCGACACTGAAGCGACGCATCCATGTCACCTGCACAGATCCCGCCATGTACATGCTTATGTTACGTTCCAAAAGCCTCGACATGCCAACTGATCAAAATGACCAAAAACATGCTGCAGTCAATCACCGTCCTCACGATGGATGGAGCACACAGGTTCTGCATCTGTGTCCGCATCATCTTCCGCAGGATCTAATTGCAATGTCGACATGGACCTTAGGACTGCAACGCAAGCGCCGCCGCCTTGCGAAATAGCTGCACTGCCTGGGGTCCGTGCAAAGTCCCAGACCAAACATGGCTCGCAGGTCACTAGGGCATGTCAACGGGTTTCTGCCTGCACAAAACCTGCGACCATGATGAGGATACCCAAATTGAAGCAGGTGCTTATCACTTTCAAAAGGGCAACCTTTCCGTGCTTTCGGCAAACCTTGCAAAACGGCTCGATGCCCAAGCAATGAACATGCAAGAACCTTTGATGCACAAACTTGCTGAGTGTCTTGTTGCGGCTCTCCTGTTCTGAAGGCTCTCCTGTTCTGATGCCGCCTTCAGTTTAAGCCGCGCACGCCCAGCAGCTTTGCTGCAGATCCGTGCTGCTTAAAAATAAAGAAGCGAATCAAACAACCAGGCTCGAGGCCTAATGGACCTCCTGCCTCTTGCGAAAACATGTCAACAAAAACAATTGGGTTTGGCCAAAGCCGGCATGCACTGGCGATTCTAATCGATAGAGTCCATGTGATCCAGGACTTCTTTCACCCGCATGGGGTTGTTTGTGCGCCCTGCCTCTATGAGTTCCTCCAACTGCTCACTTCGCAGCAATTTATCCATGCCAAAATGGATGGTGCTTTGTAACTCGGGACAGTCCGGAAAACGTTGCTTCAGGGCCTGCCAGACACAAAGAACACTGAAGCAGCTTCTGCGAGCCTTGGACAAAAGCCTCCATTACCGGCTACTGACATGAGAAGCAAAACAAAAAAAGAAGAAAAGAAGAAGAAAAAAATCCACTGGCCTCCAACTCCAAACGGTGCACTTTCTGCTGCAACCGCTGCACTTGCAACTGCAGCTGGTGCACCGCATCCGTGCACTCCGAGCTCGAGCTCGAGGCTCCCATCCGCGGCCATGGGCTCAACGTCAGCGCCGCAGTCTTCACCTTGGCACCAGCCCCTGCAACGCCTGCCATGAGGCAGCTGCGCCGCGCCTCATCTCTCAGAAGCCACGCGCCTCCTCCCAGAGGTAGAGCTGCAAGCAAGCCGCGCATGGGCAAGCCAGCGGCAAGAAGGCTGGCCTCGGGTGCCAGGGCCACGAGCGACGAAGCCTGCATTGCCAGGATGGCGAGGACCATGAAGGTGCCCACAACCCAGCCATCGCATTGGATGGAGTTCTGCACCTGAACTCGAATCGCATCCTGAAAGGCACTTGTCTGGATCGTGGCCTGCACTGCCTCCTTGAAAGCGCCTTCCTCGATGCCCGTGAAGGCAGCTCGGATGGCGCCATTCTCCACCCCCTTCACATGGAAGAGCTCGTGCAGCGCGTTGCTGTCGAAGCGCACAGCCCCGGTCTCCATGCCCTTGATGGCGCCCTGCTCGATGGCCACCCTGACAGCATCCACGAAGGCCCCCTTCGCAATGCCGGTGATGCCGCCGCTCACGTCTACCGCCCTGGAAAAGGCCCCACTCTCAATCACGGCCTTGACATCCACGGCGCCCTGCGCAACGGCGCCAGCCTTGACCTGGGCACTTCCAAACTCATTTCCCATGGCTGACAGGAGCAGTCGACAGGGTGGCTGAAAGGCCCAAAGCTTTCAGAGCCCAAACGGAGCAAACAGCGTTCGGACAAACCCTGCAAAACGGCTGAATGAGCACATGCAGGAACCATTGATGCACGAGCTTGCTGAGTGTCTTGTTGCACAGCTTCCTTTTGTGAAGGCTCTCCTGTTCTGATGCCGCCTTCAGTTTACTTTCAAAATGCAGAAACGATTCAATCAGGCCACCGCGAGGCCTGATGGACCTCCTGACTCTTGCGAAAACATGTCAATAAAAACAGATTTGGCGAAAAGCCGGCATGCACTCGCGATCTAATCAGCGTGCAGGCTGTGAAGCTGCCTGATGAGCAGCTGGCGCCGAGGCTCCTCGATTTTCCTCAAGGGACCTTCCCAGGACTGGTGGAGCCTATGGCCAGCGCGAGCCTCAATGATGTCTAATAGCAACTTGTCAAGAAACGGCGATGTCTCGATCATCCGCTTTATCTCATTTTTGAAGAAATTCCTCCTTCCGATCTCTTCTGGGTTCGAGACGAGGTAAATTGGCACATCGCACCCGAGGTTCTTCGCAGTCTGCTCTCGGAGTCCCTCCATGCACTCCAGCGCAGCACTCTCAATTTGCTCATGAGTGGCATCATCGGGGAGAAGGTCTAGAGCCTGCGCGTTCGGGCATGCCCTGCCCATACGACTGTGCACTGTGTCTTTGTCTCAACCAGCTAGTTTGAAAACAGATGGCCTCCCTGCATTGACAGGCACACATGTGACAACAAGCCTCTGGACCCACTCAGGCCTGTGTCAGTGGTATGTCCACCTTGGCCTGCACCACCAGGCACTTGACAGGCGGCGTCAAGTTGCGCAACATATTCACCAGATTAACGTCCACTTCCATCACCGTGCCTGAAATCGCGAGGACGACATAGTCAAAGTAGCGCAGGCCCATTGCAGAGATGTAGCGACTGGGTGGGAACTCCGGGGTGCCGTGCCCGGGCAGGTCCCAAACATTTGCGCGTTTCAAGTTCTCCCGGATGCAGGGTCCATGGATGGAGTCAGCGCTTTTAAGGAACTCTTCAACATAGCCACTTGATACATCCAGCGTGTAGCGGGTCGCTTCCATTGTTGTCTGTCCGTGGCCAACCTTTGCGGCTGCCTTGCACAAATGGTTTATTAAAGAGGACTTCCCAACATTGCTAAGCCCGGCCATGACCACGTTGAAGCCCTTCTGGCTCAGATCCAGCCATTCGGGCTTGGGGTAGTCACAAGGGACGCAGGGCTTCAGGCAGGAATGCTCCTCGCAGTACACCATGTGACAGCGATCTTCCGGGTGCGCCGCCAGCTCCTTGCAGTTGTTGCAACGGTGCCCTTCCGCATGAGCTGCTGAATCTTCAAACGCCGTGACTTGCGAGCAGATGCCACACGTCACATCTCGCTTCGCGCATTCCTGTCAATATTCAGCAGAAACGTCAAACATGCAAGCTGCCTGGGGAGCAACATCGTCAGGTTCTCAAGCTTCACAACATGAACGGGTCGTTCAGTGCATCTTAAACTTGGAGGGGCTGCCATGCATGCAAACACGCCTGCCTGCTGCTGGTGCTCTGCGGCGTTGGGGAAGAGGCCTTCGCATTTTGGACACCTATGCCTTTCCTCTTGGTGCGCGTCACAGGCAGCCTGGTTGGCCTGCTTGACTTGGCATATAGGACACGGAACCTTCTCGCAGTCCGCGCAGGGCTGCCTTCGCTGGTGGGCCTGGCACCAAACCATGGGACATCTTTCCTCGCTGTGCTCCACGAGTTGGTGGCAGTTGGAGCACCTGTGAGTCTCAATGTGCGCTGCCATGCGTCCCCTCGAAATACGGGTGGAGCAAACGGTACATTGGATCATCACGGCATGGCATACATCCTGCAGGCGTCTTTGGCAAAGAAAGCAGCACTCAGGTGAGTTCATGACTCACAAATGACACGACAACTGAGGCAAAAGAACCCAAGACAGGCCTGATGCGCCGTCAAATTGCTGAAGTGCTCATTGCAATGACTGCACTGGTGACTCTTTTTGTGATCGCGAAGATTGCTTTCGCTGTCGGTGGAGTGCGAGCCTTGGCGCAAAGAAACACGGTCTCTGGGTTGGTTACAAGGGAAACCCCCCCTCTGGGGGGCAGACAAAACCCACAGGTATACTTCACTGTTGGCTTCGGAGGCGTTGAAGAGCGGCCCCCGCCCATTGCGGAACAAAAAGGGATGCAGCCAAATACCCGCTCAGCCAAGTGTTGCGGTTGAACTAGCATCATGTTTAACTGTGCTGCTTATGAAGAGTGAAAGGCCAGACTGCTGGCCAGCGAACCTCGAAACATGGCACGCTTGGAGCACACATCCCAGAACTTTCCTTAAGGAGCATGCAACCACATGGCAAATTGGTCTCCAGGGTGAAGTTCTACTCCACTCATGGCGCACGCCCTGCATGTTTTGCTCATCTACACGGCACTTCGGAGTTGAGGGCGCAACTCAGATTTCCACTGATGGCTAAAAGTAAGTAAATGGTTTCTTCCTCAGGCGTCCCTCGGGCATAGCTTGCTCTTCAATGCCAGAAGCATAGCCGTTGTCGAAATCAAAACGTCCCCATAGTGAGTCTTGAAACCAGAAATTGGATCAAACGCGAGCTTGGCCATTGCTCGGCATGCCGGTGACACAAATGCAAGGACAACAGCCGGGCCCGGCCAAAATATTGTCCCAGAGCAAACCCTGGACGCCAGAAGCTCAAATAAGTCCACGTCCTGTTCAGAGAAAAACAGAAGTTGGAGGCTGCGTGCACTGCTCCTATCCTGAATCAAGCCCTCATGACAAAGCCGCAGCAAGGTCGAACCTTCTCCATACGGGTTGCGCAGGTGCTCTAAACAAAAACAGTGGAACTTGCAGCGTGGAACTTGCAGCCTGGCGTCAGTATTCAGGTTATCTAGCGGGGTCGCTCCTGCTGGCCTTACCCAAATCATGCGGGAATGTTGCAGCCCAGCGACTTGTCTCTAAGGTTCAACACAGGGATCCTGTGGGTTGTTATTTCTGGCACATGGCGGGGTCGCGCGTTATGGTTCCTTCTGCAGTGGAACTTACAGTCTGAAGGCAGTTCCTCAGGAGTTAACACGGCTGTGAACAAATATCGATAGCATGCGGCGCAACCTTTGTGTGTGAGCGGAAAAGCAAAAAATCACAGTGTGTGGGAGGGGGTAGGCGCTAAGCACCACCTCGCACGATGCTGTGTCATCAACAGTTTAAAACGACGGGCGCGAGCCCCGTAGTACACCAGTGGTAAGGAAGGAGAAGCGCCCGCAACTTGCGACTGCTGTAAAACTCCAGAAACGCCCAAAATGTCAGCGACGCACGCACAATGATCAAAAAGCGGCCGATCATACCCGAAGGCACCGTGGCGCTCACCACCCCGGAGAAAGAAACAAGCCTGCTTCTAGTGCAGTAGCTTAAGGGGGCAGGCCACATGATGCTCCTTGACAATGTTCCAATCATCATCACTGCGTCCAGGCGGCAAGGATGCAAAACAAATGACAAAATCGGCGGCAATACATTTAGAAACCTTCTCACTACTTCAAGCCTCCCAAAAACATTTCTCTCTAACAAAGAAGACTGTGACCGACCCACGCACAGTTTCTTTTCCCAAGTTTTGCTCAAAGGTAGCAGATGCGAGGCAAGGTTTCAGGGTGGACTTTTAAAAGAGATCCCCCCCTTTCAAAAAAATGGCAACGCGGCTGAAGATTCCAACAGGTTTAAACCACAAGGGAACCAAAAAACACAAGCGGGTGAAACCTGTTCACTGCTTCAAGCCTCAACAAAACATCCAACAAACAAGTCCGTGACCGACCCACACAGTTTTTTTCCAGGTGTTGCTCAGGGGGTGAATCAACATGCGTGTTCGACTCACGCCGCCGCCTGCATACCGGCGGAGCCTGTTATGACACTCCACTTTAGGACCCCGGGCAACCACACAATTTTCTCATCCTAGCCCATGACGTCCGGGTCTTTCTGGGCAAATTACGGCACTTTGGCGGGGTCCCAGATGTCGTTGATGCCGCGACGCCAGCAACGGGCCACCTTTGTCTCGCACCTGGCCGCACGCATCCGCCTCCCATCCGTCCGCCTGCCTCGCACGATAAAGGCACGTGCAGAATGACGGCACCGTTTTACAAACGGCAGCAGAGGGTCTGCACACGCACCCAAGCCAGGCAGTGGCTTGGAGCAAAAAACACAATTTTGCAACTGATCTGTTTCCAGGCTAAATTAATGGCCTGGCGCGCTTTGCACCTGCAAGCCCAGACGACACGATCAAACTTATCTGCATTTGTTGGTTACCTTCTGATCCTGACAACGGACCTGCGAAGTTTGGAAGGAAGCAAGCATCGTCCACGCTTCAGGCCTGGCGTCGCCACGAGGAAAGCCCTTGCTGACTGAAGGGCAAAAGTAGATGTGTGTGCTGCTTTTCAACAATTGTATTCTCAAGTGTTCAAGTCCAATGGCCTGGCCTGACCAAAGAAGCACAGCGCCATATTTTTTCTGTGCTTTGGCACAGCTGACTCTTGTGCGCATTACACGTCTGCACACTCACAGGCACAGACAACACTGCGTCCAAGCCGAACAGATCAATTTGGCCGAGTCTTTTCTCTGGCCTGATTTGCGTCAGGCCACAAACACAGAGTGTTGCACCTCACAGCTTTAAACCGCAAAGCGGACTTCTTTCCTTGCACCCGTCATAAGGCCACGAAAACCCGTGCATTGGGGGCTGGTGCCGGCGTCGTGCTCATGCGGAGGCCTTTTTTGTCACCCGCACGCCTTGAGGCAATTGCCATCGGTCGCGAAACCTGCTAAAATACAATAAGAAGGAGAGGTGAAACAGATGGTGAGACGTCACTTGAAAAAGCCGGCGAAATAGGACAGGCCACAGAGGAGCCAAACAAACGAACAGAACCAAACCAAAAAACAGCCAAAAAAGACAGCGAACAAACAAACCGAGAGCAGAAAGGGATTTCGCCAGCACGCGGAAGTGCATGTTGAAATTAATTACGAGCGGAAAGGAAGGCACCAAATGCACTGGCTACGCGCGAAGAAGAACCATGAGGCTGAGCGGGGCACAGACCATATGGTTCACTCGCGGAGCGCACTACACTTTGGCGGGGGCACATTTGCGCATCGTTAACCCCCGTACATGGCCATGCAGAGGAGCATATGCAAATGGACAACACTGAAGGCCGCACACACTAGCCAAACGTGCATGAATTAGGGCAAAAATGCCACCGAGGCGACAAGCAAAAGGCATGCATGAATTAGCCGGCTCACAGGCATCACCTGTAGCCGCAGGGACAACTTCGCGGCATTGCGAGCCAGCGAGGCAGCCCAGCAGCGACACAGGAGCGCTCACCCATTGGTCAACACCACAAGTGGGCCAACTGCAAGGGCCGCACGTCATGAGGAAGGGGACCATGGGCTGAGCGGGGCGCAGGGCAATGTAGCCGGTCGGTAGGGTGTCTGAGTGCTGGGACATCCGCCAGGGAGGAGTGGTGGCCCCCCCCCGGAGATGTGCCCTACTGCCAAAAAGACGCTCTGTGTGCAGTAGACATATGCCCGGATCAGGCAGGCGAGCAAGGCAGCAGCTACCGGACGATGAGCCCGGGATGTGCCGGCATGCCAGGCACATTTTCCAAGTTCCTGAGTAATGAACGGACCAGGCCACGGGGGCACTGGCCGTTGGCCTTAGCTAGGGTTGGAGTGCAGGGCAATGGACAGAGCCCCAGCAGTCATGTCCTTGACAAAGGGGTCATAAGGGAGATGCAAAGTAGGGTTGACTGCCCGCCACATCGCGCAAAGCACCTGCAGAGGGCTGGCAGCCCAACCATGGCGGTGCCTGAAGGGCAGTAAGCAATGTGAACAGCACAAATGTGCTCTGTCAAGACAAACTGAGTAAAGCGCAGAGCCAAGCTGGCACAGTGCTCCCCTAATCACATCTTACCTATAAGAAAAATTGTGGGTTTGCCTGAGTGAGGGAATGGGATACGGGACAGAGTGGAAGATAGACAGAGAGACCGAGCGGGGCCCGATCAACACTGTAGTCCTGCCACAGCATGTGACTACCTGGCACATGTTCCCGTTGGGAAGGGTAGGGGGTATCCCGCACCACATCGCACATAACCATATGGCGGAGTGGTTTATAAAGAAAGGCTGGGGCTTAAGCAAGCATGGCGATGAGACCAGCACAAGGCGACTTGCTAACCTGCCATGGTGGCTCGGTGAGGCACAGTACCAAGCAAGACACGGGTAGGCCAAGTAAAGGCAAAACCGGGGCCCGGACCATGAGCAAGACGGACTCAGGATTACCTGGCTGAGCGCGTGCACAATGTTCCAAGAGCCCAGACATTGCAAGGGCCTGGCGCGGTACAGGTCCTATGGCAAAGCAATTGGCAAGCGACCTAATGGTTAGGGTTTGGGGCGCAAGGCAATTGGCAGGAGAGAGACCGCGAGACCAAGCGGGGCACGGGACTACACGGACCTTCCGCCCCAGCAATCAATTTTCCGGCACGAATGCTCATTGGGGAGTTGCTGTTTCGGGGGTAATAGCGGGCTGTAGTCCTGCTACAGCTTTAGATTATCTGGCCATCTGGTGGTGTCGCCAAGCACGTGGTTCCAAGAGCCCAGACCTTGCGGGGGCCTGGCGCGGTGCAGGTGGCAATGGTGAGGGCTGCCACCCAGAATTGCGGTTGCGCTAACCGATCAAGCATCAACTGCTGCAATCTGAGCGGGGCATCACCGCCGGCCAGGGGCGCAAAGACCTTGGCAAGGGAAGTTGCCAGACACGTGAGCCAGGAGCGGAGGAACCGGAGTTTCTCGTCCGCACTGAGTGCAGGAGCATCAGATACCATGCGCCGAAGGGCCAGGGTATTCCTAACGGTGTGCAGGCCGGCTTCGGTGACATGCAGCGTGCTAAACATGACATCGCCCCACGGATAACTAGTGGGCAGCTGGGCGAAAAGACCCAGCTGATGCAAGGTGAGCACATCCTTGGCCTGGGTCATGTCAGGGATGGATGACAGGCGGGTGGCAAACTCATCAAGGGCACTCAAGGTGTCTGGGTCAAGGGCATCGTCAATTTCTGCATCGTCTTGATGGCCCCGCCAACAGGGCAGTCCGCCCGTCCAGGACGGAATGTGGTCGCATAGCACAGCTGCTGGGC